AGTGACTTGAAATATCGCATGCATATCTACAACCTGGATGGGTGTAGTAGCTACAAGAGCGAGGATTTGGGAGGCCTTGTGCTCAGAGCCCTTAACAGAACTTTCCTTCTGTGTCCTTGGTATGTGCGTGCCGACACGGATGATGGGCTAGGAAGTACCAGGCTCCCTAACGGAGGTTCATTGTGAACTGTGCACTGCACCGAGGTGCTTAATTCGATATTAAGATTTACCTTAGATATCCATGTGGGGAGTTAAAGCTGGTACTTCTGCAGGGCATCACGTCGCAGAAGGCTGCTGCCTGGAGGATGATGGCCATTGTAGTCCCACACCACCACAGGGAGGCACTTCAGGGAAGTTTGCCTATAGAGCATCAGAAAATGTAACAATTAAGTTTTCCAATTCAAAGAATTAGACTGGGAAATTTTTCCAGTGCAAAATCTCAGAAAAGCCACATCATTGGACACCCGGCCTCCATTAGGGGCTTCATGAAATCACATGCATTTTGCAGGCTTCGAAAGACTGTCTTTAGGACTAGAAGCCTGTTAGCCAATGCGTCACCATGGCTCCTGAACTTCCCAGGACTGTGGAGTCCCACTTCCTGTAAGGAAGCAACATGCTCTGTTTTCCTTCCTCTGGAACTGGATGATATATCCAACACCACTTTTCCCCTCCTCCTCCTCCGATATTCCTCTGAAAAACCCCGTCTCCACACTGCCACCCGGCCAAATTAGCACCACGGCAACTTGGATGTCTCCCCATTCCTTTTAATATGGAGCTGAAGAACTTCAGTTCATGAAGTCGAAATGAACCCCGTTTCACCTCAAATGAAAACCGTTTTGGGGGATCCCCTCCTGGTGCCGAAAGTGCAAATACAGGTGGAGGTGGGCCGCCACAAAACAACACCTGCTCACTCCTAACCTGGAGAACTTAATCCATCCGGGGAAGAAGGACGAACCGGGGAAAAGGATGCCAAGAAAGGGAGCGGGTGTCGTTTCGGATGCAGTGGGTTCAGGAGCCCTTCATGGGAAGTTTCCTTTCCACCTTTCCTGAATCAGAGCCTTGGGTTGTGCTGCAAAAAGTTCCTTGGCTGGGGCGTGTGTTCAGTAACGGAGAGACCTGCACTCTTTTCCTGGCCACGCTCCTGGGAACGAACATCTCTCCTCTCCTCTCCTCTCCGCAGTGGCGTGGTGCGAACACCGCCTGAACAAGTAATGCTTGGAGTGCAGAACCACCTGGAGGTAAGCACTGCAAATTAAGCGGGGCCCTGCAGTGGGCACCCAGTTCGTTCTTAGTTGGCCACACTTAAGTTTCTGCAAGATGGTGGCCTGAACCTTCCGAGGGGGGCACTGGCTCTCTGTGCTGCAGAGTCTGGCACGATCCAGAGGGGTTTGGACGCAGTTTGCAGACAGAATCTGCACAGTAAAGGGTGACTTCTTAAAAGGAAGGATGCTTGTCCGGGATCGCTCTGTTGCCAATAGGTGGTCAGCATAGAAATGTAATAATAATAATAATAATAATAATAATAATAATAATAATAATAATAATAATGCAATTTGGTGCAAAATAGTTTGGTGCAAAATAGAGCTGCCAGGTTGCTGACGGGGACGGGGCGTTATGCTCACATGACTCCAGTCCTCCGTCAGCTTCACTGGCTTCCCATTGAAGCCCGGGCCCAATTCAAGGTGTTGATTATGACCTACAAAGCCCTAAACGGCTTGGGTCCTGGCTACCTGAACGAGCGCTTACGTCCGTATATGCCCGACCGCCCTTTGAGATCTGCGGGAGAGTCCCTTCTCCGGGAACCCTCCATGAAAGAAATTAGGAGAGTAAGTACCCGGAGGAGGGCTTTCTCTGCGGTGGCGCCCAACCTATGGAATTCACTCCCCAAAGAGGTCCGCCTGGCACCGTCGTTACTGGTTTTTCGGCGCCAGGTAAAGACCTTTTTATTTAAACATCATTTCAATTGTTAAAACATATGATCTGGCCTGGGCAACTTCTTCTTCCTTCTCTTTCTCCTCCTATATTTTTATTTTATACTGATAATTTTAATTTTGTATTTGTAAATCAATGTATTTTTTGTATTGTTATATTTAATGGTAATTTATTATGTACTATTGTATTTCAATGTATTTTATCATGTTGTAAGCCGCCCCGAGGTTTCGGCAAGAGGCGGCATAGAAATGCTATAATAATAATAATAATAATAACAACAACAACAACAACAACTCCAATGTGGTGATTGTGCAGACTGGCCAAATATGATCCTTCCTCAAATGGGTTTCTGTATTTCCCCATGGCCTGTGCAGAAATAGACGCTGACAGAACCAGCTGTCCCTCTTTTCCCAGCCTGCTTAGAAGTCATTTTTTTAAAAGCTGGAAAGTTGTGTGTTTTGTGCAGGCGAAACACGGCCGCCTGGACACGTGTGCGTCGAAAGGCACGCACGCCAGCCACCCCTCTTTTGCGTGTTCCCTGGGTTTGTGTTACACGCTCCTCTCTCCCCTTCCCTCCCTCCACTCAGAGCAATTCCTTTTCTCTGCAAATCTCTTTTTCTTGGCCCTCAAAAGTCTGATCCCGGTCCAAGAATTTCTTCCCATGCAAGAGAAAACAGCAAAGGGAGCAGAACAGCAGAGGATCCGGAGGCTGTTTCAGTCTTTGGAAGCAGAGGGAGGCATCTGGAAAACTCACACAATTTGGAAAGCATTCTTGGAAGCATCCGAGGCAACATAAAAATATATGCGCACATACGTTGTGTGTGTGTAAACTCTCCCCCACCCTTGCTCCTCTGCTCCTTTTTTATGCTGCTTACTGAAAAGTTTTGTAAAGGTTTACAAATAACCATTTATCCCCTGATCACCTAGGGTGAGTACGAATTGCCTGTAGGCAACCAGACTTAGGAAGGGGGGTGTGTTTGAAATACTTTTAAAAAATGAAATACTTATAAAAAATTATAAAAAAAGGGGGTGGGGGCAGCTCCATCAGGGATGTTACTAGCTGCTTAAAGGTTTGGGGCCCAGGCCCATATGGTGTAAAACTATATATGCTGATTGATAGCCATGTATGCAGAGTTAACCCTTCCTTCTCTAGGCGTACCTCTCCGAAAAAAATTATCCCCTGTATGTCCATGAAAGTGGAAAAAAACAGCATCAACCCTTCTTTTGGGACTAAGGGGTACTCAATTTCTTGGAATATATCCAGGGAGTGCTTTTGGCTCAAGCCCTATACAACCTGTTCATGAGCTTCCGAGAGGCAGTCTGGCATAGTGGTTAGTGCTGATCTGGGAGATCTGGGTTCTAGTCCCCACACAATCATGAACCTCGCTGGGTGACTCTGGGGCCGTCACTGGCCCTCTGCCTTGCCCACCTGGTAGGGTCGTTGTGAAGATAAGATGGAGACGAGGAAGATGGTGCCAACCCTCTTGGGTTCCTTACGGGAAGGAGAAAGGCAGAACATAAATGTAAGGAAGAAATCAATGCAATAAATAGACTTACATCTCGTCATAATGCACAGAAAACTGCCCGGCAACCAGATGCTGCCAGAAATGCGTCTTGGGGGCGAGGCACGCAAGCCTCTGAAATTGCACTTCTCTCCCTGCTGGCTCATCTCCTCCTTTGCACTATGTACCATTCATTGAGACGATCAGGCGCTGTTCTCCCTGCCACCGACATACAATTAGCGTCGATTCAATAATGCATCCGCCTTTAATTTGTCATGAGTACCCTTAGCGGATTAGTGCTGGGCAGGCAGAGAGGGGAGGGGAGGGGCGGGGAGGGTGATGCAACGGCAGATGTGCTTTGGGGTGGGGGAGCTCGCCCGGCATCCAGAGGAGCTGTGGGGACGTGGCGAGGTCATTTACGGAAAGGGGTCAGGAGTTCGGGGAAGCCGCATCCTACCATATGCGCGACCTGGTCCTTCCCGTGGGATTGCCGGCTGGAGGGGTTCCGGTCGAGGGCCAGCCTGAGCTTGGAGGCATGTCTGGCTGCCAAGGACTGGCAAGACCTTGGCCTGCAGGGCGAAAAGAACACACATTTGAACACATTTGCAAGGGCTTTGCAGGCCACGTACCTCTGTGAAGGAAGGGCCTTGCTTCATAAGGATCCCTCTCCTTGCGAGTGGCTGAGAAGGGCATTTGATTTCTGAGGGATCCGAACCCGGGAACTCTGGCTTGTTTTATGGGTTAAACAAACCGGAGTTAACCCAACCATAAAACATGGGCGATGGTTGGGCTCCCTCTGTGTGGTTGAGCTACAAACAACCCAGAGTTTCCAGGTGCGGATGTCGTGGGGCAACCCAGGGATGGGGCATTCCTGCACTGTTAACCAAAATCAGCGGGGGCTCATGTGAAGTCTGAACAGCCCTCCTGCTAGCACACTTCCGAGGCTCAACAAGCCAGAAATTGACGTGCAGACGAAGCAGCTGCAGTGCTCCATCTGGAAGCTCCTTTGGGTGGTGCTCAGCACCAGGGGCAGCTCCTCCAAAGCCCAGAATGAGCAGTGCAGCGGATAAGGAGCCCCACCGGCCCCCGAGTCACCGGCCTCCCTTGAAGACCAGGAGGACCAGTTCAAAACCCAAGCTGAGGATACCTGCCTGTGGCCCCGTGGAAAGTCCTAATTCGCAAGGGCAGCTGCATCCCGGCAGCCGGCCTTAAAGCATTTAGGTTTCGTGCCGGGGCTAATGGCCTCCTGGGACACCGCTGCTTGGGCGGGGGTGGCGGTGCTCCCCCAGCCGCCTCTCTGGTCTGAATAATGGATGGACCACGTGTCTATCTCTTCGCAAGGCTTTTCCCGATCAGCAATGGCAGAGGCTACAAACCGCAGCGGGCAATGGATCTGCCATGCACACTGGAAGCCAGCTTCCCGCGACGCCATAACCTCTGGGGGCGAGCAGGCCTCGGGCTGGTCCCTGACCTGTGAGAGAATGTGGCCTTTCACCCTATTTCCTTGCGGCATCCAGAATGCAATTTGAGAGTATTTGGACGTATTTGATCCATTTCATGCAATACACCCCTCTTGCTCCTAAGCTGCTTCGCTGACCTAGACACCATTGCGATGGTTAAATTTGTCCACGACTTGGTTCTCCTGCATGGAGGTTTCAGAGTGGTGAACCATACAAGTTTAAGCAAAGAGAAATGTTCTCCTCCTGATCCAGCCTATTTTTGTGCCCAACAATCCATGCACTTGACGATAGCCCAAGGCTACTGTGTTTCGTTGGTGTGAAGAAACCTCTGGCATGGGCTGCTTCATAACCATGAGTTCTGTAGGTTTGATTCCGTGGTTATACAAGGATGCATACAGATTGGACAGGGATAAGAGTTTGAGCTGGGCCTCAATCTTGAGATAACTAATAGTTTGGGCTCGAGCGTCATCCCTAGTAGTTTGAGCCGGGCCTCAGTCCCGAGATGACTAATAGTTTGGGCTCGAGCGTCATCCCTGGTAGTTTGAGCCGGGCCTCAGTTCTGACTTGCCTTCCTCTGCAAAAATCCCACTGGCAAGAGCCCAGGTGACATGTAACCTCTCCCGCTTCCAGCTGCCCGTGTCAGGCTTCCTGTTCCTGGAGTTCCTTCAACCAGAATTTTCTATAAACCAGAATTTTCCTTAACAGGGTTAACTGTAACGATGACTCAGTCTGTGTGCCGGTTGAAAGAATAGCCGTGCGCACGGCGCTTTCCTGGGCACGCAGCCGCTGCTCCGGTAACGTTAATGTACTTTGACATTGAACAGGGCTGCCTTTCACCGCTTCAGTGGATGCTGAGGGAAGGCCATTCCGGAACTGCAAATAGCGCAGGATTTTTATATTCCTGACTAGAAAGGATCCCTGGGTAAAGGTTCAAGCCCTCCTTAACTCGCAGGGTCATCGATTCAGACCCATTCTGTGAATACACGGCGGAGAGCGGTTGGCTTAGAATTGCCCGGCGAGCGCCATGGAAGACTGGGGACTTGAACCCAGCTCTCCTCAGTCAGTGCTCAAGCTGCCAGGCCTCTCCGGTTCTTCCTCTTGTACTGCTCTCCTTCCTGGGTTGAGTTTTTAAATAATTTAATATATATATTGTATTCTGACTTGTCCCTCTTGCAAGAAGGACCAAGGCATGACCTAGTCATCTTCCTCTCCATTTTATCCTTACAACAACCCTGTGAGGTAGGTTGGGCTGAGAGTCTGTGACTGGCCCAAAGTCCCCCAGTTGGCTCCATGGCTGAGCGGGGACTCGAACCCGGATCACCTGAGTCCCAGTCCCACGCTCTCAACCACTGCGCCACACTGGCTCTCGCACGAAATGCTCCCGCACGAAACATACCTCTCACCCGATCTGTTCTTGAGCTGAGCAGGGGCGTCGCTTTCTGCGGCTTTTAAGTGCAGTGATACTGGAAGCGCGTCCTTCGCCCGATCCTCACCCCCCCATGTGCCTGTTTCATTGCCCCCCCCCCACCAGAGGGCCGCCGGGAAGCTTGAGCTCCCCGTCCCGGCCAAATTCGTCATCTCCAGCCGCACGGATTCCGGAGTCCACGCCCTCTGCAACGCTGCCCATGTCGATATCGAGAGAGAGAACGGCAAGCCGCCTCTCAGCACTGAAGTCCTCGCCGAGGCGCTCAACTACCACCTTGCAGGAGAGCCTATCAGGTGAACGTCTCAGACCGATAAGTAAGCGGCCGAGTTTTGCATGCAGAGGGTCTCTGGCCCAGTCCTCCATCTCTGGCAAGTAGCGAGTCCTGGGAAGCAGCAACAGGATCGACATACTTTTTCAATGTTTGGTGTTTTAGATTGGTTCTGTAGCTGTTACAGATCCTCTTCCACATGCTGTACTGGGAATATTTTGTCCTGCGTGTGATTCTTTGAAGCATTTGTTATCTGCCCAAAGGACTTTAGTTATTGGGCAGATTTAAAATGCAAAACATGAATGCTATGTGCTCTTCAGCTTTTGCTTCCGCACTTGCTGCCAAAGAAGCACTTTCTGAGTGGCTTTCATGCTCATGCGCATATATAGGAGGATGTGGGGCGGAGGGGGGGGACCGCCAAAGATAGAAACATAGGAACATAGAAAACAGCGCGAGTCAGAAGGGGCCTCCCGGGCCATCTAGATGTCCCCTAACTCAACATTCCCTTGTCATCTAGGAGTTTTGGACTTCAGTACCCAGCAGCACTTGATGACTTGGGTCAGTGGTCAGGAATTCCGGGAGTTGTAGTTGGGGAGGCTGCTCTGCCAGACAGTGGAGAGGGCCAAGCGGTGGGGATGCTTGTCTCTGTTTAGTGCGACCCCTTGGTGGGGGCCCTTCCTGCTCCTCCTCAACCCTCTGTGCTGGCAGGAGCAAGAGGCAAAACAGCAGGGAAGAGGAGGGACCAGTGAGCCCCTGCTGGTGTGTGGGACCCAGGCAATGGCCCAACTATGCCTTCCATAGGGGCGCCAGCACTGAGCAAGTCGGCTCTGCTAGTGCTTCTGGCTTTCTAGCCTGGAAGGTATTTCGTTGTTGGTCTGGAATGTCACCCAGGCCCCTGTTGCTGCCCTTTGGGGACCCCACCCCCCCTGGGTTCTCCAAGGGACATTACCCAGACATCCCTAAGCTAGCAACAAGTCCATCTGCCAGCATGTCCTTCCTGCAGCAGTTTCCAGCTGTTGTCAGATCTGTGTAACGGGGACACAGTCCGAGTCTCGGCACACCTTCTGCCAAAAGATACGACTACTTGAGAGAGGAAGCAGGTGGGGAAAGAAGATGATCTTGCTGTGCTTTTTAGTTTCCTTCCAGAAGCTGCTTCCACCCTCCTCCCCTCCAAATGCCAGACTTCCAGGATTGGAAGCGATCTTACTGTCCTCAAAGTTTGCTCGCTCTTACTGTGTGGGTACATACCTTGAGCCGCTTTGTCAGCTCAGGGGGCAGCTCAGGGTGTCAGCTCAGGGTTCAGGGTGTAGAACAACTGGCTGGCTTCCAGAGGCCAGGAATGACGTGGGACAGACACCCACCCACATGGTTGAGGGCTCCTTTTCCCTTCTTCTTGTTCACTACACCATCCCGGCTTCTTGCAGGGGAGTTGCTCCGAAGCGTTGATCCTCTTTGCTTCCCCTGTCTGCTCTTTTGTCCAGTCCTCTTTTCAGGCGCAGCAATCAGCACAGCTCCTAAAAAAGAATTGTAGGAAAGTCAGTCCTGATGCCCAATCCTGTCACAGAGCAGTTCTAGAAAAGGGCTGCCCTTCGCAGCACACCTGGCTAAACTTCCACCGAATTTGCTCTTTTCTGCACTTTTCCCAACTGCACATCTTTTAGCGTAACAACCAGAATTTCACACATCCCTTCTACGTGTGTTTGTGTCAGATTTGTGTAACAAAGATAACCTTCGCCGTTTTGTTTTCCTGTCCTTCCTTAATTATTCCTAACTCGAACGGCGCATGAACGGATGTCAATTGTAAACAATACTTGGGCAGTTGCGAAGTTGCAATTAATTTTTCCAGGTGATTATCCCTAGCAAGAATGTGAAAGAATTCATATTTATCCTTGAGATAGTCTTAATTTCTAACCACTCCATCAGCTGCAGCTTGCTGGGTGGTCTGCTCCTAAACGGGAGCATGATACAATAAAAACACGTTTGTTTCCATAATATAAAACTGAAAAGCAGTTTAGAATGTTTTTAAAAGTAAAACAGCATGTAATAGATAAACAGGTCTAGGCATGGTCATGCATCTTTCCATGCTTCGTCACTGAAGGCTGTCTTAACCTGGTGCTCAAAGGATACACAGTAAGCATGAGGCATGTCTGAATGGAGAGGTCATTCCAGGTCAAGGGGCCATCCTGGATAAGGCCCTTCTCCTTTGTTAATAATTGACAGGAATAGGAAAACTTCCCACCGATGGGCACCATACCAAATGGAAACAAATAGAAGGAAACAGATGATGACTTCCGATTCACTGTTCAAAAGCTGGACAGTGTGGCGCAGTGGTTGAGAGCGTGGGACTGGGACTCAGGGGATCCGGGTTCAAGTCCCCGCTCGGCCATGGAGCCAACTGGGGGACTTTGGGCCAGTCACAGACTCTCAGCCCAACGTACCTCACAGGGTTGTTGTGGTGGGGATAAGATGGAGGGGGAGAATGATGTCAGCTGCCTTGAGCCCTTTGTAGGAAAAAGGCAGGATATAAACCGAAAAATAAATAAATAAAATTTAAAAAGCTTCAAATGCAGAACAATAACTCAAAATGTGTTTGAAATAAGAGATGAAGTGACAAGCAGCTAACATATGGGAAAAGATGCTTTGAAAACTCAGCCTTACATAAACCATTAAGAATAAAACGAGCAGCAGGTAAACATTCTTTTTAAAGGCCTGGTGGGAGAATGAAAGGGCAAGCATCCACCGCTGTGTGGTATACTCGGTGGATTGTCTTGTTTGGGATTTCAGACTGTAAGCTCCTCGGAGCAGAGATCTGTCTGCTTTTACCCTGGAGGCAAGACCTCTCTCTGCCTGCCGTGGGGCAGCATGAAATGTTTAAACAAAGGGCAGATTAGAGAGCCCCCAGAGCTCCCATCCTATCATGGGACACACACAAAAGGTCTCCCTGCCCATCCTGCTTTGCAGAAAGAATTGCAAATCCTCCCCCCACAGCCCCACGGACTTTCCTGTCCCTCTCTCTCCCTGTTTGCTTTATTCCCTAATCTCCGTTTTGTTTCATTCTGCCCAGCTAGGATGCCGATCTGGCTAGTTCGCTCATCTCCCCATCCCCGTTCTGTGCTTTTTCCTGCACTCTGTTGCAGCTTGTTAATGCCTTAGGTTCGTGAGCTATAGTAGAAATATTTAAATTCTTTTACAGAATAAATACAAATAAAAACCCTATCTTCGTTTCCTGAGGCTGATCGCGCATGAAGTTGTCCAAAATATAAGGGCTCTTCTAGATCAGACCAAAGGCCTGAAGTCCAGCATTCTGTTCCCAAAGTGGACAACCAGCTGCCCCCAGGAAACACGCAAGTAAGGCCAGCAGAGTACAACCGTACCTTCTTGCCTATGTTCTCCAGCAACTGGGGCACATGGGCAGGCTGCCGCTGATACGGGAGGTGGCAGACTATTTATTAATTTTTACTTCTTCGGTTTATATCCTCCTCCATGAATCTGTCCGTTCCAAATCACCAGCCACCTCTCCATCTTGTGGCAGTGAGTTCCACAGTTTAACAACCTGCTGTGAGAAGCAGTCCTTCCCCTCCTCTGTTCTGCATCTCTCGCTCAGGTTTCTCTTGCCATTCCCAAAGCATCAAGTGCCTCTCCAGAGGCCCGTCCTGCTGCTGGCCAGCCGTTTGGCTAATACTTGCCCTGCAGTACGAGGACTAACGTTAGTAGGCTTAACCAGGCCCTGGTGCGGCGCAAGCGGCGTCTTCCGCCTTCTCTCGGGCTCCCAGCTTGCCATTTTCTGAAAATGCTTTCCGTTCTGACGGTAAAGGCCGCTCAGCTGCTTCCCATTTCGAGGGGAGGGCTTGAGAAAAAGAACTTTCCCAGAGAGATACGCCAACGGCCTCCTCTCTCTTGCAAATACCACCGCATCGAGCGGAGGGGGCAGTCCACAAAATCCAGCCCTGTTGAGCATCCTCTTGTCCACAGAGCTTCGAGTGCAAAACCGGATTCCAGGCCCAGCTTTCCCCTCTCCGTACCTCATGGTGGCCCCCCTGCTAATGAGGGGAAGAGAGCAAAAGCGTTAATACGAGTTCTCTCTTCTCGCCTGGATGCTGGCACCGTTTCCTCAACTTTTTTCTTGTTAAAGTCACTTATGTAACACTTATGTAAAACAAAAAGCCACCAAAGTCGTCATCTTCTCTCTCGGATCGCTCTCCAACCCAGCGTCTGGGAGTAGGTGTGCGGAGATTGGGTTTCTGCCCACATTCAAGCAGATTCCATGACAACAGCTAGGAAGCATCGGGGAAAATTAAAGATCCGGGAATCCGCCCATCCCTTGCGCTGTCGGTGGAAGGCCCAAACTGTGGCACAGCCTCAGTGGCAGAGTTTTGAACTTTCCCCACGGCCAGCGGGACTGGGATGTTGGAGTGGCGAATGCCGGTCCGGCAACCGGGAGACCCGAGGCTTGGTTGTGCGCAGGACTTGGCTGTCGGGAAAGCCTGTGCATGCAAAATTTGGTCCTGTGTGGAAGGACGGGAGACGGTGCTCTGCCTGGTGAGCAAATGGCATTGTTTGGGCATGGCTTCCCCACAGACATCATACGGCTGGGAGAGGGAATTATTTTTGAAGGCATGTCCTCCCTGTAACCAGGCCTTAGTAGAGGCATTTCAACCTATTACCATTGTGGAGGGGGGCATCAAAGCCAGGAAGACCCCCCAGTCGTGCCAGGTTGGGGGACCCCACAAAACGAGTTTTTTCTCCCTGGCCTGCTGGTTAGCATCCTTGCCTTGACTCGTGCAGACCGGGTTCAGACAGCGCAATCGCCTGCATTCGGGGTTGAGGATGAGGATGGAACATGGGTTGTTGCCAGACCACGGGTGGTCACTGATGCCGGTTCTTTTGCCGGGGTCCAGTCGAGATGGCACCCCACCGCTCGCAACCCGACAGCAAAATATGGACCAAACTTCTAGGCCGTGGCTTGTTCGCACAGCTGGGTCCGGATGACAAGACAACCCAGTAACAATCCGCACTCAGCCCCCAATGGTGGATTTTTGTGTTTTCTGAGCCCAGACGATGTCTGTCGAATGTGTACGCAACTCATAAACACACACAACCGTTAAGTCAATGCTGAAGACTCTTCCAAGGGAGGATGGGACGCCGCTGAGCGGTGGTGGGGCCGGCAGGAGGGGTCTGTTCTCAGGCATGGCGTTCTGCCGTCTCACGCCCCTGGGACCTGGGGAATGTCTGTCCGCGGCCGCCGTTTACAACTGGCTGGTAATCGGCGAGCTGCGGCAGATGTGGGGAGGAGTGAGAGAAAGGGCAGGCGAAGGAAACTAGGTCAGGCGTCGCAGCCCACCCAGCCGACTGCCTTTCTGACAGGGCAACGCTGCAGCTGGGCTGGAACGTGTTGCTCCCAAGACGGGATCCGTGCAGCCGGGTTTCCACGCCGCGGCCGCGCCGGGAAGGGCACGGAGGAGCTGCGAGCCTAGCACTCCGGGATTCCCAGCTGGGCGTTGGGGCTCGAGCCCCGGATGCTGTGCCCTCCCAGGAGAAAAATGCCCTGCATGTAGAAAGCTAGCATGTCAAGGGGAAGGGCGGCCAAGCCCAGCCTTCCCATTGGCGGTGCATCGCTAGATGCACTGGGTCACCATTCCTCTGATTCCCGGCCAGCCTCTCTCCCCCTGGGCAGCAAGAGGGGTGCTGAGCTCAGCCTCTCCGGGGCGGGTGGCGGAAGCTCTGAACTCGGGAAGGCCTGTCCTCCCAGGTACATGACCCCCCTGGCCCTCATTGCTTCCTTTAGGCCGAGCCAATGCAAGGGCCTCGTATTTCTCTGCCGGCCACACCGATCCCCCTTCCCTGCATCCAGCGTGCATTTGGATGCAGTGCGTGTTTTCCAGCCACTGGCCCACACGGTGTCTGCCCTGGAGGTTTCCTGAGCCCAGAGCCTCCGCTTCCTCTGGACCTCACCTGAGCATCCAGTGCCATCACAGACCTCGGCCCCCGCAGCTCGGCGAATCGCGTGTTGTTGCTTCTCCCCCCTCTGCAGTGTCCTGAGCGCTTACCGCGTCCCTGAGACCTTCCATGCCCGCTTCTCTGCCCGGTGGAGGACGTATGTATACCGCATCGCAACTGGATGCACGCACTTTTCCGAGCTGCCGGTCTTCGAAAGAAACCTGTGCTGGGCCACTTATCGAGGGTGGGTGCCGCGAACTGACAGATTTGGTGCTCCCGGAGTGACTTTCCAAGATTAATCAAAGGGCGCGCACACTTTCAGACTGACACTCGCAAAGACACAGCATAAGAGGAAAAGGGATTGGGAAGGAGGAGGAAAAGTCATGCACTGTCCTGTTAGACCAAGGTCTTACAGGCTTCCTTTCTGGCGAGGGAGGCCAGATTGGGAGGCAGTGGCTGCAGCCTTTTTGACTTCTAGGGGACCGTGGTTTGGAGCTGTGTGATACTTCTCTTGACAGAGTGGGCAGGGACTAGTTGGGTGCAGCCGACCCTCTGGATCAGCGAACTGCCCCCCAAAATTGCATAGGGAGGGGTGCATGTCTTCTCAGACTGAGCAGCCTTCCCCAGCGGGGTGCCCTCCCAGTGTTCTGGACCTTAACTCCCATCTGCCCCAACCAATGTGACCGATGCTCAGGGATCATGGAAGGTGTGATGCCCCGCTTCTGGCGGGCACCAAGTAGCAGGAAGCTGAGATGGAGCGGTCTCCCAGCTGTGCCCAGCTTCCCACAACTGCTCACAATAATGCAAAGTCTTAATTTTTATCATAATGCGAAATCCTAGAGACATCTGGCCAGGGACGGAATGAGCACGTGTCTCTGGTTGATGTCCACCTCACCTGCGCGCATCAGCAATCCGTTCTAATTTCCACCCCAGTCCATAACTTATTTTTAAACCTCAAACATGGGAAAATGCTCTTTTTACCCACGGGTGCCTCCCGTTTTCTTTTTTTGGTGCCCGCCAGATAATGTCAGACTGCAGAGCTCATTATCCCCAGACAGAACAGGCAAAAAGCTTTGAGATGGATTCCGGCGGAAATCTGAGGACCGTGGAGAAAGCTGGCTCTGCCCCTGGCACAAGAAAACCCAGCCGCTCACCTCCTCCCTTTCATTCCAGCCACCTGAACGTCTCGGCCATGCGGGAGGCCGCGGAGTTCCTGATCGGGACCCACGACTTCAGCACCTTCCGCTCAGCGATCTTTGAGTTCCCCGTACGGAGCCCGATCAGGACCCTGGCCTGGGTGGACATCAGGCCTGCTTCCAGCTTCCTGTCCCAGCACTGGAAGAACAGGTGAGAACGAAGGTTGCCTTTGGCCAGGTACAGTCTGCACGGCCACCCCCCACTCAAATAACAGTGACAGTTTCTCCAGGGAGATCTCTCTTCTGCCTGCCTCTCTTGCCACAGCTTGCCCCCGTGCACTTAAATGTAATAACAGAGTGTGATTACAATAGGGAAATCCACAAGGGACAGCCAGCAGGTTCCCATCCTCTGCCCCCCCGTCTATTTTCCCAGCTTACTTCCAGGATGAGAGAAGAGCCACGCAGAGTATAAGAGCTGAGAAGGATGCCCTTTTTGGGTAGCATTTATTTGTCGTGCCCAGGCTGAACCAAGAGACCTTCTGCTCGCTCCGTGAGCTACAGTTCCTCGCCAAAGCTGTTCTCACCGTTGGAGAGACACCCTGTGACGAAAACGGAAAGAGAACAAAATCAGTGTTACAGTTTGGGGAAATCGGCTGTTTCGTGACACTCTTTCCGTGTACCTGTCTTGAATCTGCTGCCAAATCGGTTTCAAGTTCTGGCATTGGGAGGAAAATGCCCCACTTTCTGTTGAAAGTGTTATAAATTGTCACCATGTTCCATATTCCAAGTAGCCACTTGGAACAACAAAAGCTACACCAGGTTTGCGTGTGTTTATCTAAACTGCATCTTTGTGGCACTTTTCCAGGCCTGGCGCATTTCTGCGTGTGCTTCTTTGCAAGCTGTTTCCCCAGCCTCTGCATTTTGGGGGTGCTCTCTCTGCCCCACCAATGCATTTCTGGGCATTTTCCCCACCACTCTGCACATGCTTTAATCTGAGACAAAAGCACAGCCTTCAGCAAATTGTGCCTGGTTCCAGAAATGCAAGTGGCTTGCTCTGGGCCTCCTAAAGCCTGGCGGTGGTGCTTAACTATGCCTGAAGGAATTCAGTTCCCTTCCTCAACATCCTGGCAGAATTGTGAGGAAGACAAGGACCGGGGCTGTTAGAAAACCCGTCTTGCTAAGCAAAGCTTGTCTTGGAGCAAAGCCCGCTTTCAACAGATCTTGAAACACAATCGGAGCAGCCTCAGGAGGGGCAGTGAGACACAGGGGCCAGGGGAGAAGATGACTTGAAGTAAGAGGATGGTGGATAAGGATTTCTGGCAACACAGTCACAATGAAAGGGAGAGGGGCTTGGGAAAATGCAGGGGGGCTTTTCCCCTGAGGTAGCAAAAGAAGAGAACTCCCTGAAGGTTTTCCGTGCGCTCCCTTCGGCGTCCAAGATCCCTGTTTCTCGAGGAGCCTGGATTCTCTCTCTCCGTCTCTCTCGGTTGGTTTGCATCTTGGCTGGGATGGGTGGAGAGGACGGAAAGTGCCGATCTGGCAGAAGATCTGACAGGCACGGCAGCAAAGGGACATCGAGCTGTCCCTGGTACTGAACGGCCACCGCGGTGTCTGGCCACCCCGCTCAAGTCCACCGCTCGGGTCCAGAGATCTTCGCCGAGATGCCCCGTGCTCCTTGCGCAAGCTCGCCACGAGCTGAAGGACTGGGAATGTCCTTGTTTGAAGGGAGAGAGACCGTTGCGCAAAGATTGGGGTGCTTCTCTCTCTTCCCCCCAGTGCGTACAAGGCTTTTGCTTCCTCCAGCTGAACGTCCGCGTCCTGATTGTTTTCTCGCTCTCTCCTCTCCGCACCCCGATGGGAGCTGCAGAGGGAAAAGAAGGCTCTTCCTCCAACCTCAGCCTTTTGCTAGCTTCTTGCTTTTGTTCTTACAAACACGTGCTGCTGGCCGAACGGAATTCAACCCCTCAAGGGAAGAGTTTATGGCAGTCATCCAGAATACGGTGCCCCCCTCTTCTCTTCGGGATTACTCCCCTGCAAGGGACTGATCTGCACCTGTGACCAAAACCAAGGACTCGGCCTCGTTCCCTGGCTCCCCAGTTTGTCTCCTGGGGAAAAAACCGGTCTGCCTTACAGGGTTGTTGTCAGGTAGAGCAGCAAAATAACGGTGTGGACAGCACTTTTCTGGCGTGCTCATCATTGCTCAATAAACAAACGTTTGGGGAGCGTATCCTACTAGATACCAAGGCCGTTTCGTTCTTTTCTTGGAACAAGCCTGCCCTGAAGGGCCAGGTGTGCTTTTCTTGGCGATCCGTGTGGGCCAGTGGTGCAGGTGTTGGACTAGGACCTGGGAGATCCGGGTTTAGTTCCCCCACATCATGACGCTCGCTGGCCGAGACTAGGCCAGTCACTGACACAGCCTGTCCTACCTCACAAGGCTGTTGTGAGAATAAAGCAGAGCGGAGGACGACTCCATTCAGCCGCCCTGGCATTCTCCTAAACAAAAAAAAGGCAGGCTATAAATACCATTTAGTAATAATTTGATTTTGAGCATTTTCGTTCTGCCTCTGGACCCGCTCCATCACCACCACCACCACCCCTTCGGTGTTCGCTACTCGCAAATCTCATTAGAGAAGTGCTGAATATCTAAATCCCGCCAGTGCACAAAGCCAGTATTGTCGCGGGTGCCGTGCGGTGCCGTCAGCCCAGCCTGGTGTGGGCGGCAGGATTGGCATCTCGCTCCCACGCGCTCGTGCTCGCGGCTTCTGTGGAGCCGTGGGCTGTCTGGACGGCTTCCATCCTTCCCGTCAGGTGTGGGGTGTCAGGAATAGTCATATTCATATGCTCGTGATAACTCATTTGCCTGGCCCAGTCTCCGAGGGGAGGCAGCGGCCGCCGCCGGATTATCTCGGGCCCATCTGCTCCCCTTTGGCCATAAGGTTGCAGCCCCGAGCATGGGCTCGCCTTGATGGGAAATGCCAGGTCAGGAAACGTGGATTCGATCCGGAGAGCGGGTCCTTTCCTCCTTCCAGGTGTGCCCGAGCAGCGTATATGGTCCTCTCTCTTTCCCTTTTACCCTCGCCGCCTCCCTAGGCTGAGAGTCCGTGGCTGGCCCAAAGCCACCCCAGGAGAGTCTTGGTCCATGGGGCCTTAAATCCAGATGCCCATTCCGGTCCAGAGGTCAAGCCCTGAAATTTTGGCCAAGCTAGCCCACAGTCTCCCCCGAGGGCCCTTCCGTTTCCCCCCGGGAGCCTCACACGCAGAGCTGGCCAGGTTTTTTGGGCCATCTGAGCAGGATGCGGGAGAAGATGAGTAATGCATTTTCTGCTTTGCACCCACTCCACCGCTATGGTTCGGTCGCTCCTACCTGCGTTGGCCTGCCAGGCTGTGGGAGAAAGACCAGCTGTCTGAGGGACCAGTCTTTTTCTTGCGTGATCAGAAACGAGGCTGAGTCAGCGACGTAGGATTGGGGACCAGGAGGAGGCCGACAAATCCACCCCCTGCTCGATGCAGGAAATCTGGCGTGGAATTTCCCCAACTGATAAGTGTCCAGCCTTCGGTCGAAATTCCCCAGCCGAGAGATCTCTTCACCATCTCTCCAGGCCGGCTTTCTTCCAACGCGGCCTCTTTGCGCTGTTCCCAACCGGCATGGCCGATAAGGCTGTGGCCCCACTGGGAAGCACAGACGGGCTGGACCTGAACGCCTGCCCTACACTCCTGCAGCTGCCGAAAAGGCGAATGCAATCGGAATGGAACCTCCATGAACAGAGGCAGCCTACCTCCCTCGGATTACCAAAGGCTCTGTGTGTGCAGCAACTATTGGAAGAAACTTGAATGTGGTGGATCCTTGTGCCTGGTTGCCTCTCTGCTTACATCACGGGCAGAGAGTATGTGGCTGATGGGATCGGGAGACCGACAGCATCTGAACACGTGCAGATTTCCCTCTGCTGCCAAACACAGACAGACTCCGAAGGAATCGAGCCAGTCCAGTGAGCACCTGGAGTCAGCTGTATGCGGCCGAGATGGAAAAAGCAGCACTTGGCTGGAGCAGGCAGGGCTGTTACCACTCGAGCGAAACCTGGCCTACCCGGTCCTAATCTCTCCGTGACCTAAAACAGATAAGGCTTGACCTTAATGTGAGGCAGCCACCAAAAAGCACAAACGGTGGGCCAGCCCCTCCTGGGAGTGAGAAGGGATTAGGGCAAGCAGCTCCACTCCAAATCTCCTTAAAGCGGGGAGGAGGAAGAGACGGATCTCGCCTCTCGTTCTGTATCTGTCCGCCGAGCATCCCAAACGATTTGTCGCGAAGGACTCCGAACCTCCAATTAAAAAAACGCGCTCGGGATGGACAGTTCTGTTCTTTCCTTCCGTCGTTGCTGCCATTTCAGCTTCCACGTAAGGTTTCTAAGCTCCACACTTTCCTCTCTCAAATATGTACATTTCTGTGCCCGGGTTTTCAATCAGCGTATTGTTCTAGGTACTTTTTCCATTGATGTAATGCAGTTTTGTCCCCTTGTTCCTCCAAGGTCTGCACTTCCCCCTAGTACGAGGGGGTCTTTTCTACCCCCAAAAAACAACAGGTATAAATTCCCTTGCACTTGTCAGCTCCTTTTCTTCAGGAATAACTTTGGGAAACACAAAACCTAGCCTGCCTCGCTGGCTTGCTGTAATGGCAGACAGGGGGACCACATGCCCCTCGGGGAAAGAAGATGCAAAATGAAAGGAAATTCACGTTACATTTCCAGAGGCAGGTTCCCCACGCACCCATAAATCATCCGTTCCCACCATATGGTGGCGAGGGGCTCCTCCCATCCCATAACTCATGTGCGTATGTGGATTTCTGCATTAGATAAATTTCCCTGGATTATACACTGGGCGAAGCAGTTACGTTGCAGCTACGATACAATCCTGTGCCTATTTAAATAGGAAAGAGCAGCTCCTAGCATTTCCTGGCCATTTTTCCGGTCTAAACATGCCTGGCCCTTAAAGTGTTTGGTTGTTAAGCTTCTTCCTGGGAAATCGGAGACCAAAAAAACAAAGATCCGGTTCAGACGAAATGATACGCTTCTCACTGGACTGTGGGGTCTGGCACTGTCTGAACCTGCCAGAGCTGAGAACCATGGTTGGTTAACTATGAAGGAAGCCTGCGGTTTGTTGTTGGGTTGCGAACCATGGTTAATCAACCATGGTTTCTCAGCTTTGGTGGGTTCAGACAACACGATAACCCATCTTTCAACAACCACGCACTTTCACCCCTTGAGTACAGGTTACTGTGTTGTCGGAATCCAGCCAGTGACAAAGCAGGAGAAAGGTTGAGCAGCCGTGGATAGATTAGGTAGCAAGGTACAAGGCCTGGAAAAGGGGTTGGGGAACAGAAATGAACGGTCCTGCAGAGACACAACAAACCTGAGTATGGGAAGTCCAAAGAGGAAGACTAGCTCTGACCCGAAAGCCGTGACGTCACCACCTGTCTCTTTGTGTGGGCAGTTTGCCAGAACAATCTTGAGGACTAGCCACTTTCCTGTTTAAAAAGTCGACGTATTTGCTTTGTAAGTGCTTGGCAGAATCCATGACCCACTTCAATGCCACGTGGGCTTCTCGATCTCCTGCTCTGAAAAAAGCTCCCGAACTTCTAACGTTGAGCTGTCTGCCTTTCCATCTCGCTTGCCAGCCGCCCGGCATAAACCCATTCGGCCGGAAATAAATACTGCCGACAACAAACAAAGGTAGAATAATAGGTTGCTAACACCAAGCATGTGATTTCACGGGGGAGGCAGCCGTCCGTCAGAGGGTCTCTCCGCTGGGGTTTTGCAGAATGCTTTTCCCCACTCAGCAATTGCAGTCAGCTGCGGGAAAGAAAGGTCAGCGAAACGGACAAAAGTGACAGGCCCAGACAGATCCTTTTCTGACGGGGCCTTATTTATACCATCAGGAATAAATAAACTTTTATGTAGGCCATTCCGCTTCTGGCCGCAACGCGATTTACCTCCGCCAATTTTGTAGTTATCCCGTCTTAGAAAGAGTTGTTTTAAATGGGGTTGAAGGTACCTACTTACTTGTTAACCTAATGATTTTGATGCATTGGAGTCGTATCCTGCTTTTTGTCCTCTTGCAAGGTGGCTTTGGTGAGCCTCCAGCTCTGCATTTTATCCTCACACCGACCCTTTGAGGTAGGTTAGGCTGAAAGTTCATGACTGGCCCCAGGTAACCCAGAACCAAGCAATGCCTTGGATCCAGATGGACCGAATGCCCGTCCAGCACTATGTTCTGGGCGAATGTGCCCCCTTTAAGCTCCCTTTAAGAGTGCCATTTTTGGCAGAAAACTGGGTAGAAAGCAGAAAATGAACAGGGCGCAATGATTTGATTCTTAATCCTGCTTTTCCCCCTTCTCTTCCCCAGTGAGCTGAAGTTTTGGGAGCTTGAATTTATAGGCCGCTCATTTCTCTACAAGCAGGTAAGGCGATGGCAAACTTTGTCTCTATTTCAAGTGCCCATGGCTGGAAAAGCGTCATTGCTACCTTCTCTTTGCTTGCACCTGAATTCACATTATTTTAACCGAAAATGCATTATTTTAACACTGCATATGCCAGACTGGTTTTTTTTTTTTTAATGTGAAGGGCTGGACGTATATTTCTTAATGCACAGCATTTGCTGGGCCACCTAAGTGATGGGAAAGCCTTGTTGTGGACAAACTTCCTTTTGCAATCCTACATACATCTGGTTTTCTAGTTGTGTGCAAGAAGAGAGAGCCAGAAGCTGCAGTACAATGGAAAAGGTGGGCATCAGGCAGTTCTCCAACATGGCCAGAGCTCGCCTTGAACAGGTTCCGACAACACAATAACACTTTAAAGGGAGGACCTTCCTCCATGGTTAGCTAAAATTCAGATTAACCTCCAAAGCAATGCAAATGCAGAGAGAGATTTAAATGGGCCGTGAGGCCATAGGACAGCGCCCCCTGGTGCTGAACTGTGGAAGAGCAGGTTGGGGGATCCCTAGCGCTCAGTTCAGCAACCTGGCGCCCTCCACATGTGTGGAGTTGAGTGCCGTACTGAGACCCAGGAGATCTGGGCTCTCGCCGCCTCCTCAGCCATGCTGCCCGCTGCGTGATTATGGACCAGGCCCTGCCTCTCAGCCTGACCTACCTCACAGGGTTGCTGTTGTGAGGATAACATAGAAAGGAAGAGACCCAAGTAAGCCGCCTTGGGTTCCTCGCGAGAGGAAGCAGCCTGGAATATAAACATGGGGTTATCCCCCATCCTATGCTTGCTGGAACAACTCCCATCATCCCCAGGACTAGAATCATATATTGGAGCCTTCAAGACAGAGGGATCCTTTCCCAGCTTCCCTGGATTCTCCTTATTCAGCAGGTTGTTTACCCCCAGGCTGTGGCCCTTCCCTACAAGGCAAAGCAAGTTTCTAGTCCTCATGGCTCTGCTTAAAGGGCAGATTTAAGCTGTGTCTTATATTGAATCAGACGCTTGAGCCATCTACGTCTCCTCTGAGCGCCAGCAGTTCAGCGTTCCAGACAGAGGTCTTGCACAGCCCTGGAGATACTGAAAGCGCGAACCGGGGCGTCCTCCATGGCTCGTCCGAGCGGGTTCTGGGCTGCAGGAGCTCACTAATTTGCAAGCAGCGAGATACAAGTTCTTGCCATTTGAGAAGGGGATGTGGTCAGAGGTCAGGAGTTCCAGGTGCCCGGCCTGAACGTCGGGGCGGAAACCCCCACAAATGAACAACGATTCACATGCAGGAAAACTTCCTCGGAGCTGCCGGGCGAACGCGTCGCTGAGCACGGCCAGCCGCAGAGGAGGCGCTTCGTCTCCCCCCATCTCTGTTCCACTGCAGTATTTTCCCATCTCGCGTAGGGTAGGGGCTGCGGTTGCTTGGTTTCTAAAAACAGCTCCGGCAACTGCAGTTCACACCTCCGCAGTTTTCCCCGGGCTCCAGAAACGGCACCGACCACTGTGAGAGACGCGCCCCCTTCCTGCTCAGCTATATGCTCTCTCTCTCTGCAGCAGATCCCGCTGTCGGGAAGAGGTGCGTGTCGGAGCGAGGCGGCTTCGGCTCGCCCTTCGGAGCGCGCTTGAGGTGCTCAGGCGAGAGGTCACAACCTCCCGTGAAAGGAAAACGAGTGATAAGACTATTTCCTTTCCAAAACAAGCCGGCTCGGCTGTTCCCGTCTGGGTGAGCAGAAAGTGGATCTTCCCACGTGAGGTTTTGTGAAAACACCGATGAGTCAGATGAGTTTGGCTCTTTGTAACTTTCACGCCTTCCCATCAAGGAGCGCCAAGTGGACAGTCCTTCTCTCCTGTTTTATCCTCACAACGACCCAGTGAGGTAGGCGAGGCTGAGAGAGTCGATAGCAGTTCTAGAAGCTGAAGCTGTCTGGGCACTTGACCCAAACCAAACCAGAGAACACTGTAAGATCATATGAAAATCTTTTTGCTTCAGAAAAACAAAGGGTCTTGTGAAAAACAGCAAGCCAACCCTTTCCTTAAATAACAAAAAGGGGGGAAAACCAGCCATACCACAAGCTCTGACAATAAATACGTCATGGTTTTAAAAACCTTTATCAAACAGCAGGTCGACCAATGTGCCTTTATCTACTCTTGGGTATGTATGTATGTATGTATGTATGTATGTATGTATGTATTAAAACATTTCTATGCCGCCCCATTCGCCGAAGCCTCGGGGCGGCTCACAACATAAAGTTAAAATACAAAAAATAACAATATAAAATAAGTCGCCCTGGCCAATATAAAAGAGCTGCTGAGAAAATGAGCTGCCGGACCTGAACAAGGTCTGGTATCTTTCGCGTACGTGTTGGAAAACCAAAACACACTATCCAGTACCAAGGTTTTTTTCCAGTTGCATCCCCACCTCATTCGTGCTTTCCGGCTCTGGCCACTCCGCCTCAGTTCCCTGTTCGGGGGACTCCGCTCCAGCGGTGCCGTTTTCCGAGCGTCCCGCCCTGTCCCGTCCTTCCAGGTGCGGCGTATGGCTGGTGTCCTGGTGGCCGTCGGCCAGAACCGGTTGCAGCCCCGTCACGTGCAAGAGCTGCTGGAGGTCCGTGACCTGATGGCTTACCCCACAAACACCATCGCGCCGGCTCACGGGCTGTTCCTCAAGCGAGTGGAGTACTACAGATCAGGTGAGACAAACAGGCCCCCCGGCTGAGCACCTGCCCCCCTGGCATTTGCGGTCCGAGAGAACAAGCAACCCAGTGCCCTTCAATCTGGGACCCTCCAGAAGTCTTGGATCGCAGCCCCCATTATCCCCAGCCAGTGGCCAGGGGCGATGGGAGCTGCAGTCCATGCTGTGGTGGGTTTGAGTCCAGACTGAGTCTTGTCTTGCATAGAGTAGACCGATTGAAAATCGGTGAAGCTTAAGGTAGTTATGGCTTCAAACAAGTCTGCTTAATTCGTGGGTGTGCTCTCACGGGGACGAAAGTTGGAGAGACGTAAGGCTGGGGGAAGCCTCAGGGGCATTTTCTAGCTGTAATTCTGGTATTTCAGGCAAAATTAAGCGCTTTGAGTACTGCTGCTACTGCTCCTTTTTAAAAAGGCATTCATTTCCTAGTTGCAGTCCTTACAATAAGCCTGCAAGGTAGGCCAGTGTGAGATTGCAGATGAAGCTGATGGGGGCGGCTTAGCCAAAGCCACTTTGATCCTTCAGTTCTGGCTCTTAAGGCAGAACCCTGTCCTGGGGAGCTGTACCTTTCCCGTCGAAATAATGGACAGCAACCACATTCTCTCAGCCACAGTCCTATTTCTCTTCACCGCCTCTCTTTCCTTCCTTCCTTTCTAGATCTGGAGGACGGAAGCACTGAAACAGAACCTCAGCCTTCTTAATGCCTCCTACCACCTTATGGACCTTGCTAACACTGTTGTTGGGGGGTGGTCGGGTTGAAACCCCCTCCTCTTATCCTCTGCTCTGTGAGCATTCCTCAATAAACCGGCAACTTCCTTTTATCACAGCTGCAAGAGATCATTTATATATTGTTGGTAACGCTGCAAAACAAACAAGTCCTGGTTTAGGGGAATCTGCCGCACGGCCGCCTTTTGAACTGGGATCCGCACCTCAGAGGTTGTAACATCAATTGGCAGGATTCAGTTTCCGGTACCAAAGTGGCATCCTGAAAGCCTAGTTTGATTCTTAAGTTTCTAGTCCCTAAGGGGAAACACCTGCAGGCCAGCGTTGGGGATACCTTGTCACCAGAGCTGTGGCAGAGTTGGGGATCCACCAAGCAAAGGGCTCCGCCAAGCAGAGTTGGGGATATCCTGTCGGCAGAGCGGCACCTCTGCATGGTGGAGGCATCTCGGGTTTTGCCTCTACCATGATCTCACTAGGAGGCCTTTGGCTAGGAGATTCTCCTTGCCTCCCCACTTGAAACAGCATGGCTGTTATCAGTGCCAGATCTGGGCTTTGGGGTCCCTCGTACAAGCCTCCTTCCATGGTCCTCTCTCGGTGAATCATTCCTCCCTCTGCAGTCATCGCCAGAAGCTTCAGCTCATCTTTTCCATCGTTGGGACCCGCTGTCTGCTTCTGAAGCAGCATCTCTGTAACTCCAGTGGCCTGGCCCAGCCAAGGGGCTCACTGTAGAGTCAAAGACAGAAGAAAACCACTTGCGTCGAAAACGATCCATGGTTTCTTGCGAAGCACGATCAGAAACACATACGGGATATAAACAAGTGAAGGCGGCTTCTGCCCTGCTTCTCTGGGGATGCCCTGGTTCTCTGAACAGGCCGGGCGGTGCTCCGTAGCCCTCCAGAGTTGCCCGAACAAGCGACACATCTTCTTTTCCCGTTTCAGACATGGTCAGCACACCTAGGTTAGAAGCCACCCCGTCCTGGGAGATGGGGGCAGGTTGCTTCGTTCTCCCAGCAAAAGCGGTGCTTGTCTACGGACTGGCTTAGGAGGGAAAGCTCCAAGAAATTGCTTTCTGGCATTTCCCGACAAGCAGAAGGCCTCAGCACAGCCCCGGGAAACAATCCGGGCTTTTGGACGGTGGGACAGTTCACTGCAGAATCTTAAAAACCTCACCATTCTTCTGGTGGGATCCATCCAAGTATATCGCCTGTTTGAGATTTCTCTGGGGGGCGGGGGGGCGTGACCACGCTTTTGCTAGGACTCGGTTTTCCTTATGGCTGGCTGAAAAGGAGAGTGTAAAAGGAGCAAGGGGGAATTCAATATAGCCCTTCCAAAGGGGCGTTCAGTCTCTCAAGAGCTTATCTGGCAAGCTGCTTTAAACATTTCTGAATTTCTTACCCCAGGAAGAATTTCTTACCCTGCTGCAAAATCAAAGAGGCAGTCAGGAAGGTCTTCTCAGTGGTGGCCCCCAGTTACGGGATTTCCCCCACTACAGCACCAATTCTGTTATCCTTTTGGCAGCAGGTCAAGCTCACCCTTTTCTCAAACGCATGCGAAGTATTCGGGGGGGGGGGGGTTTGCTAGTTGACGTCTGTTTCTATTTAGCTGCTCAAAGTGTTAACCCGGCTTTTACTTTTGGGTATTGAAATTTATACACCAGTTGTGTACGCATCACAGTTTGTGTTTTTATGAACTGCTGTGAGTTGCCCGGAGAACCTCGGGTGGTCTAGAAATTAGAAGTCCACAAGGCGGCTTGCAGAGGCTCAACATGGTACAAAAGCAGAGAAAAGAGGAACAGAGAAAGCCAACAGCAGTAACGTCTTCTGTAGGATCGGTGATCCACTGTAGGATCGGTGCCCGCTAGGAGACCATGTTCTGCGCTGCCTGCCAGAAACTGCAAACCAAAAACCACGCTAATACGTGAAGCCACCGACAGGCCACAAAGCCAGAAGTGCCCCAGTTTTCACAGTGGCACCCCGTCGGGTTCAAAAGGTAGCTGATTCGGCATGGCGCGCTCTGCTCGAAGCTCTGCAAAGCTCAGCTCTCGTAGTGCCGTCCCTTGCTTCCTGAAGCGTCTCAATATGAAACAAAGTAGGAGGTGCCTTTCCTTTGCAAGTGTGCAGAGGCGGTGTGAACATGCAGACATCTTCAAGAAGGAAAGAGTATTCACGGCGCAACGCCGGCGGAACTGGTAAGTTATTTTTAAGCATTATTATTAGCTTTGTTGATGACTTTCTTCCCGGCCTCCTTACATCTGCAGGGTAATTTACACAAAACCGACAGCACAAAATCGGGGAACGCTGTAAAAAGAAGGCAGGCGGAGAAAACCAACAATCTCTGGGACATGTTGATGGCATCCACTGGGCTGCTAGGGGATGCTGGGGGTTGCAATCCAAGTTACCTGGAGGGAGCCAGTATTGGGAAGGCTGCACGAAGAGATTGGCGGGGGGGGAGGCCTGCAACAAATTGTTGCAGCATTGACCCTGTTCTGTGCACCAGCCTGTCAAATTCTCCTACCCCGTGTCTGTTCATTCTTGCATGCACCTTGCTTCGGATCTTTTGTTCCCTAAGATTTCTTGTACTTCTGCAAACCTGGAGTAATCCGCCTCCACATGGGTCTGCACCCCACGGTTGCTGCTAAACTTTCAAGGGTGCAGTTTGGGCTACGCCAGCAAGAAGCCGGAGAAAGTGGGAAATGCCTGCCCAGTTTATGAGTCCACTGATTGATATTCTAAAGTCAAGTACTCCTGAACAGGGGCTTCCCTTCCTCAACCATCATGGTTAACACCCCGTGCTTCAGTGCATCCGCTGAAGGCATCTCTACGTTGTGCAGGCCTGAAGACGAAGAGGCAAGCAAACAAGATGGAGGAAAATCTTAGTTTTGGATAGCCCAGGGGGTTTTAGGAGGGGCAGCCTTTTAGAGTGGGGAAAATCACTGCAGAAAACTTGGGAATCCACCAAGCGGGGGGGGGGGGGGGGAGAAAGGGCTGTGTCCATCTGGGGAGGGGTAGATTTGGGTCCACAGACAGACCTGCTGCTCCGCACCCGTGTCTTAGACCGGCCAGAACACGGGTCCAGCTGGTCCAAAGTCGCAGTTTCTGCCTCTCATCCTTTACCATTCCTCTTTCTGTGCTTGACAGTTTTGTTCCTCATCTCGCGCAGGGCATGAAAGTGCCAATTCTTGGTCCCAGCCAAGACTGAACGCAGCCCAACCTCTCCGGGAGCCAGCGCGGCTTCGCCTTTGGAACTCAATTTGCCTTCGTTTTTCCCAAGCTGATCTGCCGAGCCCCCTCAGAACTCCTGCAGAAGGCGGGGAGCCCAAGGGCAGTTTTTCCAGCTAAGAAATGGAGAACCAGACTCTCGCTGGCACGTGGCTTAATTGGACCGCTGCCAACACCAGTGCGCAGTGCCTTCCTCAGGCGGACTTCCAGTACTCCCTCTTCACGGTGGTCTACAGTGCCGTCTTTGTCCTGGGCCTCTTTGAGAACGGGGTGGTCCTGTACCTCCTGACCTGCCGAGCCAAGAATCCGCCCCGGCCCAACATCTACCTCGTGAACTTGGCCGTGGTGGACGCCTTGTTTGCGTGTGTTCTGCCCTTCAAGATCCACTACCACCAAAGCCGCAACGACTGGACCTTTGGTGACGTGGCCTGCAGGATCACGGGAAGCGTCTATTTCCTGAACATTTACCTCAGCATCGCCTTCTTCACCTGCCTCTGCATCGACCGGTACGTGGCCGTCTTGCATCCTTTCGTGTACATCAGAATCCAGAATTTCCATTACGGGATCGTGGCCCTGGTCCTCTGGGTGACCGCGCTGGCCACGGCCGGGCCTCTGGTCCTCGGGGGGCCCCTCAGCTCCAGGCAGGGCAACAAAACCGTGTGCTTCGAGAGTTTTACGACGAGCAACTGGACCGGGCGCATGATGCCCTACAACACGTGCGCGCTGATTTTCGGCTTCGTGGTTCCCTTCGTCGTGATCTTGGTCAGCTACCCCTTGATCGCCCGGCGCATCTCCCGCATCCCCCGCAGCGCCCGCAAGAGGAAGGCGCTGGGGACCATTTACCTCATCCTCTTCATCTGCGTGACCTGCTTCCTCCCGTACCACGTCACCCACCTGCTGCACTTCCTGACGCGGGCCGGGCTCATCCAGGACTGCCGCTTCGCCACCTTCATCTACAGGATGCGCCGCTTCACCTTGGCGCTGATCAGCCTCAACTGCTGCCTCAACCCGATTCTGTACTACTTCACCTTGGCCATCAACTGGCAGCACTGGCGGCTTCGTCTCCGGGCGAGGACGACGACGGTCTACACGATCTCTGGTGCCCGAGATGGCAAGAGCCAAGCCCCGAAGAAACCCATGCCCTGGCGCAGGGAGAGGAGCAACCGGGCAGCAGACGGGGTGAACCTGATGAGACTCCCCACAGACTCTCCTTTGACTCCGACTGCAGAATGAAGCCGTCCAGGTCGTACTTTATGTCTCGAGGAGGGTGTGTTAGCATTTGGGTTCATTAAGCTTTTTGAGATGAGCAGGAGGAGGTTTTGCTGCAAGAGCTAGTGCAGGATAGAACTGTCAATCCTAATTTTCTTTCCAAGCGCCTTTCTAGCTTTAAAGTACCTAACACCTCAGAATCTGGGTGCTTGAACAAGCCTCTTTCGTAGAATTTTGCTTCATCCCACGAATAGGCAAAAAAAGGGCCCGTGTGTTTAGATGACACCGTGCAAATCATCTAAATTCTTCTCAAGTCAACTGTTTTCTGTTTCTTACTTTTAGACAGTGGGGCTTACCTTGCCATACCTCCCAGGTATTTTATACAGGCCAGTCTTCCCCAGCCTGCTGCCCTCCCTCCCAGCATGCAAACAAAAATTCGGGTTCTCTCCCTGCCTCCTTCCAAAAGGAAAAACTTGCCAATACGAAGCCTAACAGATGGGGACTTGGTGTTGGACCATCTTGAGAAAGTATTATTTCATAAATCACTGGGAAAATTCTCAGTGGAATGCAGTTTATTTCCAGTTGCGTAGGTCACTGGGCAGAGGCGGTACTATTATCTTCATTTGCTTTTTGGCAAAAAAAAAAAAATCCAACAGAAGTCTTGCTGCACATTGCTGGATAACATTTCTATTATAGCACACATTTTCATGGACTGCCGTTCCCTTCAGCAGCTGCAGCGATCGCTCGGTGAGGGGCACTGTCGTCTGCAAAACCTTGTCGCATAAGAAACCGAAATGCTGGAATACCCCAAAGCGCGTTTGCAGAACAAGAAATAAAGAAATGGTGCTGGTGTTGATTTGGGGCTGAATGAAGATGGTGGTTTCTAGGTGTGCTTTAAAGATGCAGCTTGTCCTTTGCAATGAGTTCTCCCAGGGCATGTAATGCTTGCTGCAGATCTGCTGAACTTCCATTGCGCTCACCTCGTCGGGTGAAGACGACTTACACAAATGCTCAGGCTGAATTCCTAAACTATACAAACTGCTAAAAGAGTTTATCTTTGCACTAGGCTAAACCCTTGTTTGGAAATGGAGGGCTAGAGCGTATCCTAAGAAACGCACAGTCCAAGGCATGCTGGGAATTCTAAGCCTTTCTTTCTGTCTCAGCATGCAAAGAATTGTGGGTTAGAGTTCTTCAGGTCCGGAAAGATGCTCTAACTTTGTTGCAGCTTATTGACATGGTCAAGTAAAACAGAAGAGGAGAGGAGAATTGGAAGGGGCCTATAAGCCACAGAGTCCAAGCCCTGCTCCACTTCAGCAGGGGGTCGCCCATCCAGCTGCAGGCCCCATACCTTTCCAACTTCGCAAAACCGACTTGACAAGCTAGTTTAACGTATAGCTGTGCAGGCAGTCCTATCCGTCCCAAACCTTTCGCCTGGAAAAGGCATCGTGTTTAAGGCCTCCTTTGCCAACCTGGTGCCCGGAAGGGTCGGTGAAGACTGTCATGCCACCCCATTGGTTCATGGGAGTTGTAGTCCAAAGCATCTTGGCAAAAAGGGTATATGCTACCGTGACAAAGCTAAGGATTACTGAAACTACGGCAGCTTTATTTCAATGCACACAAAGACCCTGAAGTTGGCATGCTTTAAATATTTACATAGCTCGCTAGGTTTTGGGAGGCTTGGAACTGCTGGAGGCGTCCATGGGCGATCCACGCTTACGCTGTAATTTGGGGCAGTGCCTTCTTTAACAAGGAGGTCACGTGACTTCCCATTTCTTCATCCTGCAAACAACAATCCAGATTTAGAAGAACAAATCGGTTTAATTAAAAGAGCTCACAATTAATGCCTGACATTTTAAGGCTGGAAATCGCTCATTTTTTCATGCGGGGTCTGATTTTTCTGGGTCCCTGCCTTCCAAAAGACACACATTTGATCCTTTCACTGCTGACTTTTAAAAGGGCCTTGAAACCCCCATTTATTCCAGTCTGCCGAATCTTTTAATCTGCCGTTTCTCCAAAATGCTTTTGCAAATAGGTTCATTTTATACATGACCATCTTGGTGGCTGTCAAAACTCTTTCCATGCTGTTGTAACTTGGATAGTTTTGACGGAAACAATGCTTTTTTAGCCTTTTTATTACAAGCTGCTACGAGAGGGGTTTTTGCCCTAAAAGGTAATCTCAAATTCTTCAAGCTAGGTCAATTAATGCAAATACTTAAGACAGGCCTTCCATTGCTCTCCCTAGATGTGGTGAAAACCCACAGACGTTTTTGTGGGCTTCCTAGAGGCATTTACTTGACCACTGGAGGAGCTAAGCCCTCACCTGTGTAGACAACCTGTCTTCAGGCAGACTCTCCGTTCTGGGCTGGACATTTAATATTTAAAAGTATCCATGAAGGAGAGCTAGCTCGATCCTTGCTGGGTTTAAGAGGGCTTGCTTTATTTTTGAAAGATGCAGACAGTTAAATATAAACACACATATAAGCATCCATACTGACACAGCCAAGGATGGTTGTAAGGACCTATGTGCTTATAGACAGCGCATTGTGTGTGGGGTGGGGTGGGGGGTGGAATTGAAATATAAACATGCAATTTTACCTGGTACGTCCACGACACCAGGAGCAGTTTGGTAGCAGGATCTTCTGACTGCACAGTAACTTGAATCAGGATGGATTCTACCATGATCGAGGAGTCGGAGAGATGCTGCACGGAATAATCCTTCAGGACGCTGGAGGGGAAAATACATTAGAAATCCCTACACCCTTGCTAGGACGTTCTATTGCGAGGAAAAGCTGTCTAAAAGCTCTTCTTATCTGTGCACAGTCTTGCGATTTGCAATTCCTTTCTTATGCATTTATGGGTCTCACAAGTAGGAGGGAATCTGAAAAGGTGCTGCCAACACAGAAAGTAGGCTGGAAATTTAATATTTACAAGTATCCATGAAGGAGCGCTAGTTTGATTTTTTTAAGCAGAACACTAAGTTTAGGCATCATTCCTGCAACTCTGTAATTTTACTCCCTCCCCCTCCCCCGGCAAATATGGCCTTCCAGTTTTCGGCAAACAAAAGCAAGTTCCCAGTCCTCAGGGTTGAAAGGCTATGCTTTAAGCTGTTTTCAGGAGCTAAACAGGAGACCTTACCGAAGACTTCCCCAATCTCATACTTTCCAGGTGCACTGGTCTTTAAGTCCCATCCACCCCAGCCACAGTCAGAAACACTGGGAACTGTAGTCCCATAGATCTGCAAGCCATCAGGTCGTGCCATGAGATGTACAGAGGATTTCCAGGGGGCTGTTGGTGCTCAGAGAAGGCCCCAACCCCTCCCTTCAGTTAACGAGCCCAAATTGACGAAGCAGAACATGTTCAGCCTGCAGAATTTCCACAAGCAACCGTAACCGAGTCAGAATCTGCACTGCATGGGCACCTATAGCCTGGAGTCATGAGGACTAGTGGCCGCTGATAGACATTATCTTCCCCTTGAAGTTGTCCAGGCCCCGGATGGGTGGCTATCCCTCCACCTTGCAGGAATCTGTGCAGCATGTGAAGACGTCCGACTTTCCCAAGCTACACGGTCCCAGAGGCCACCAGCTTTCCTGGTCCAGCCCCTTGATCCTTTCTGGGCTCTTCCCAAGTCCGTGGTGCCCCTTTAGAAAGGACAACCCGGTCCATGTGCCCCCATCGCCCCCTAGTGGCTCTCCCCCCCCCCCCCCCCGATTCAGGAGCCTCAAGCACCACCCCTCCTCCGTGCCCAGAGAGGCGCCCCGGCTGAGACCCTGCCCAGGCCGACTCGCCTCTTGAGGTGGTTGTAGACACGAAGCCCTGTCTCGTGCTCCTTGCGGGGGTCCTGAAAATGGATCCGGCAGGTGAACCTCAGCTGGTGCTCCCCCAGACCCAGCTCTTTGAGGGCCTGCTCAGGCGAAACCAGGCGGAAGTGCTGCCCAGAGAGGGAGAGAAGGTCTGGATTAAACCGTGTGCCACATGCACCGGGACGCCGGGGGACTGAAGGAGCCCATGACAAGACTCTTCCGGGTCCCACTGGATACGGAGAGCAGCGACAGAGGGGGAAGAACCCCTGGCCTGGAGGGGTGCTCGCTGACCTTCCCAGCTCGGAAGCTGCCCGCGCTCGTTCTGTTCCCAGGAAAAAGCTCACCGACTCCTATTCAGCCACCTACTTGGCTGCACAGGCAAGCAGGGATTCTGTGCGGGGCCGCGAGCGAGCTGGCTGGCTTTCTCCGCAGGTAGTGCGGGAAGGAGCCCAGCGGGCCGAGAATGAGAGGCCGTGCTGCCCTCGTCATTTCATTTTGCTGTTGCTCGCTGACCAGAAGCCGCCGTTTCCGGCCAGCCACGACATCACCTTGCAGGGCAAGGCCTTCTGTGGCCTCACGTGCAAGGGGAATCCAGTCCGTCAAAGCAAAGCAGGCACACACGGAGCTCAGCACCCCCGGGGGCTCCTTCGAGCAGCCACGGTGCCCCGGACACCCCCCAACAGGTCAAGCCAAATTCACCCACGAGTGGAAAGCCCCAGACTGGTGAACAGTTGCCGGCTTTATTAACTCTGCATCTTGCTTTTCCTCCTTTTGTGACAACCCCACGGGGATACGCATGCTTGATTCTCACACCCATCTTCCCCTGGGAGGTTCACGAGCTGGTGAGGCAAGGACCGGTCCAGTGAGATTCACGGCCAAGGGCGGGGGGCAGAAGCAGAACCCCAGCCCCACCACACCAGCACCCCCTTTCCACTCACGTCATCCTTGATGATCAGGGTCCCATGCATGAGCTTTGGCTTTTTGGAGTCCGGCAGGAGACCTGTGTGGGGCCGTATGGAGGGAAGGGCAAAAAGCAAAACAGAAGACGTCGCCAGCTGTACAGTCGTTTTTCTCGCCCTGCGCGAGGGGGGGCAGGAAACCAGTGCCGCGCGGAGCACCAGAATGCCCCCACACCAGCCTGGGCCTCTCTGTGGGTTTTACTCAGAGATGCACAGAAGAAAGTGTTTCCCACGGGCGTCCCCTGCTTGAAGGCCTCCACGGCGTCCGTGCTCCCTTTCGGGCTCTACCCTCAGGGGCCACGACGATATTCCAGGGATCAAGCAGGGGCGCTCATTCTGCGCATGGCCACACTGTGGCGGGGTCTCCGGGGCAAGGATGCCCGAGGGAACTGCAGTGTGTTCCAAAGAGTCCGAATGTCTAAGATCGGCTCGATTGCATGGATTTCCTTTTTAAAAGCAACGGGCTGCAGCTCTACACGCACAAACAATTTTTTGAAAAACCCCGTCAAAAACTTGCAGTTCCCCTATAGGCCAAAGCAGGCAAATGCTCCTGGTTCAGGGATCTGCAGCTTTTGGGGCTGCCCATTTTGTGGGATTGGCTGAAGAACGGATCTGTGCAAAAGCCAGTGCTGTGAGAGAGCGGGTGACCGAACAAAAGCTGCCCGAAACAGAGCTGGGATGGATTCTGCAATGTCTGTACTTCCCTGTTCAGAAGCGTTTCCTGTGGGGGCAAAAAGCTTGCTTCTTACGTATGCCTGACTGATAACCAAAGCTGCTCCTTTCAGTTATTTCACAGAAATTAAACACACTTTTAGTTACTTGAACTAGGCTTATGTGACTCCCAGGCAAAAAAAAAAGTCTTTCACGTTAGTTTTTCAGCCATCAGCAAAAAATTCCCATCCTTGCCCAAAGGCCTGTCCTCTATGTGGTCATGACACACAAGGAAGAGAGTATGGGGAGGGAAGAGGAAAAAGACTATCTGCAGAACTGTAGGAATGGCCTTGCTTTCCCTCTCACTTCTCAGGGGAAGGACAGTCCAGGTGGACCAGGCCTTGGTGTTTCCTTTGCCTGCTCTTCTCTCCCTTGAATGTAGCCCTTACGGATTGCAAAGATGGGCTTCAAAATGGAAACATTGCCTTCTTGAAAGATTTAGAGACTCTCACAAAAAACCCAAAGGGGATGCAAACTTCTGAAGCCAGTTGCATGAACCTGCCGGGAGAGAGCAATGAACTGGCACGCCGAGTTCCTGCGTGACGCCTCCCCAATCCCCCCCCGCTGGGCCCCCGCCGTATTACCAACTGCACGCTCTCTCTTCAGCAGCGCAAGGGAGACGTCCACCGGGATGTTGGGGTTGGTGAACACGGTCACTGTTTCTCCGTTGGCTGGCATGTGGCAGTTCACGTCTGGAAGGGGAGAGATGCGGAAGAGGAACGTCAGACGTGGATACGAGCAAACGGGAGGGCAGCAGCCCCGCCGGGGCCGGTTAGCAACAGGCGGGTCGCCCTGGAAGCCGGAAGCGTCTCTGTCTCATCACTGTGACCCGGAGCCGCCAACAGAATTCCGAAATGCGGGAGAGACACGCGACACGGGGGCGGTTGCCTTGGATGGCACTGGAAGCCCAGAAGGAACGGGGCTGGACGAGCGCAGACTCCCTCAGCAGTGGGGAAGTGGTCTGGCAGTGTTCCCCGGATGGCCCGCCCCCTCAGGGAGTCTTGCCAAGGTCTAAGGCCTACGCTATCGGCAGGAAAAGCTTTTCTCCAGAACACCCTGGCGTTTGGATTCACCCTCCAGGGAAAAGCAGCCCCAGAAGCTGCCGAGGAATCGAAATCTCAGCCATCCGGAGAGTTCCTGCCTGAGGCCAGCCAGGCAGCCGCTGTTTCAAGACGCCCAGCTCAACGGCCGAGCTGCCCCTGTAACGTTTTACTTAGCCCTTCAGCGCAATACCCATTTCCGCACGCCGTAAGCACCCCTCCCGTCCTACGTACGGAATTCCTGCTCGATCTTCTGCTTGAGGAACTCCATTTTCTTGGCCTCGCCGTGGACCAGGAGGACGTTGCGGGGCTCGGCCTGCCGGATGAGCTGCATGATGCCCTTCGCGTCGGCGTGGGCGCTGAAGGACATGTATTCCACCTGCATCTTCACTTCTAGCTGAGGAACGAGGGAGAGGCACAAATCACGCCGGAAACAGGCTCCGGGAACACCGATCGCTGGCGCTGGGGCTGGCTGGCGAGGCTGTGCCCTGGGTGGGATGTGTTTGTGCCACGGTTTGTAGGCGGTGGCTTGGTTAAACCCAGCCTGTCCTGATTTAGGTTTGGTTTTACTTAGAAGGTTTGGGCACAAAGTCCTGGGTCAAATTCTGGCCTCTTCACTTGAAGAAAGGATCAAGTGCCAGGGAATGGAAGGGCCCTTCCTAGCCTGAGACCTTGCAGAAAACCTGCCAGTCAGAGTAGGTAACACAGAACTGGGTGGATCCATGATTAAGGCCGTTTCCCACGTTTCTGTCTAACTGCATCAACCCACGTCATTCCTTCCTGCTTCTCTGCAGTCTTGCCTCGAACTGGAATTTAGTCAGCAAGCTCCTTGGGGCAGGGATTTTGCCTTTCAGTTTAATTTCTCCCTGTGGAGTTACCATATGATAAGAGGACCCTACTTTTTTAATACTAGGATAGCGAGAATTAGGTGTCCCCTTCTGTCCTGAAAAAAGAACACTCAGAGAGATGAAAACATTTTAAAAGCAGCAAATGCAAAAGCTAAGCTGCAGAAATCAAATTAAGATGTATGAATCATTGGTCTATATTCTCATCTGTAACAGCTTTCCCTATAATGCGTGTTCTTAACCTGGGCATGCTTTCACTGTACTTGGTCTCCATTTTATTCATTTTTCTAAAGTGGAGAGAGTGAATTAATGCAAATCAACACGGAGGAGGCCCTTCTTTGAAACTTCCAGCTGGCCAAGGAATCTAAAGGAGCGCCTCTTCCCGTACGAACCTACCTGGCACCTTAGACCTGGATCTGAGATCCTTCTGCAGGAGCACCTTCCTCAGAAAATGAGAAGGGCAACATGAAGGGCCTTTTCTGCAGTGACCCCCCAACTCTGGAACAAGCTCTGTAGAGAGGTTCACCTGGTGCCTTCTCTACATTCTTTTAGGTGTCAGGCAAAGATCGTTTTATTTCACTGGTGTTTTAATTGCCAATTTGTTTCAAGCAGTATTTTAACTGTGGGCTATGTTATCAATTCTGTGCATTTTCTGTGGCTTTTAATGTTTAATTAATGTCGTGTCTGTTTTTATACTGCATTTTATTCGGTATTTTCATTGTTGTAACCCACCCAGGGAGCTGTACAGCTAATAGGGCGGGTTAGACATTTAGTAAATAGATAAATAAAGAAGTACACTCACAATTTGTCGACCTTCCATTTCCAACTTCCGCTGGCCGCCCAAGATTTTATGGCCCACGGTGCCCTGTACACAGTATCCGGGCATGATCACCTGGGAACAAAACCCCAAAGCAGCATGTTAAGGGATCCCAAACCTATTGCATTTTAACAAGCAAAATAAAATGTTTCAGTTGTGGGGCTTTTGGGAACTGTCTGAACACAGGCATTGCAAGTGAAGGAGAGTTACTCATTCGCCACAGCTTTTCATACCATGTTCTTCTCGTTGCCAGCCCATTTCTTGAAGATCTGGAGGGACTGCCCCGCGTGAAGCATCCCGGGTGTGGCAAAGACAACCTGGTACAAAAAGAGAGACAGAGACAGAGAGAGAACGAGAACCACATGCTTAATCCAGGGGGTCCACCAATCTGTTCATGATTCCATCTTTTAGTCTCCACCACACTCTGACTTCCATTTATTCTATTTAAGGGGGTTTCTTAGTTTTTAAAAAATAACTGCCAGTCAGAACCATCTTCATTTGGGTTCAAAAGAGGCAGGGTGTGTTTTAAAGCTCAGAGCTTTTGTTTGCACTTTGTGTCCCAGGCAAGATATTAATTTATTATTTTTGATTAACAATATGTGTACCCCGTCCTTTACGAGACGTCCCAGGACGGCTTACAATAAATAAATCACATCGAAGTACAACACTGAGAAGGATGATATTAAAAACTAACTAAAATAATTAAATATTAAATAATGGGCAAATAAAAAGATATGCTCCTTTCTGCATCCTCGGTTTGCCTTCCGGGAAATGGGACCCTTTTGTGGCTGGCCGCATCCACCATAGCAGCCCTTTTGGAAATGGGCAAGAACCCCCAAGACACTCAGTGCAAACATGCCCACCAGTGCGAAAGGGTTGGCAGCCCCAGTCCGGGACCGGGTCCCATCAGGAACCTCAGAGTTGGTGCGGATCCACCACAGGTCCACTGCCTTTCCCAATAGCCTCTCACGTCATGGTCTGTGTCGTTTTCTATGCTACCCACTGTCCAAACTCTTAGAAGAGCTCACAAAAATTAAAACCTGGATGTTACATGATAACAACACCTGTACGACACAGAGGGACACACACGTCTAAAATCCAGGTAAAGCAAAACTGGGGTAAACCGTCCACAGAAGCTGCTGAAGCCCCGAGGTCGCCTCTGCCCTGGTCGCTGCCCCCGAGCCTCCATCGGCACAGGCGACAGGAGGGCGACCTGAGACAACGGCCCTGGGGGTTCATGCGTGATTGGGGATTCACAAGCGCAGCGCCCGGCACGCACCATCGGCCCCGGGTTCTCGGCAAAGGCCCTGTCGAAGGCCTTGATGTGCTTGAACTCAAACATGTTCCTCTGGACGAACGTTTTCCGGATCTTCTGGTTGGTCCAGGTGATGAAGAGCTTGTAGTAGTGGTTGGCCTTCTCCGTCAGGCCGGTGGAGAAGTAGATGGGGGCCTTCAGGTTCATGCGCTCCCTTTGGAGGAAAGGAGACCGGGGTGAAAAACGGGGGGGAGAACGTCACCCCTGGCGGGCACGGCCGGCCCGCCTCCACGGGGAACTTGGGGTGCGATTTCTTCCCCCGTTTTTGAAGAGGCCACCTGAGATTCTCAGGAAGGTGGATTCTGCACCCATAAGCATGATTGCGCACAGTTGCTTGCACCTCCGTGAGATATTATTATTATTATTATTATTATTATTATTATTATTACTAGAACATTTCTATGCCGCCCCTTGCCGAAGCCTTGGGGCGGCTTACAACACAATAAAATACAATACGATACAAAAATAACAATATAAAATTAAAATTAATAATATAAATTATACACACACACACACACACATAAACGATATAAAAGAAGTTATAAAAGAAGTTAAGAAAAGAAAAGAAAAGAAAAGAAAAGAAAAGAAAAGAAAAGAAAAGAAGTCGCCCTGGCTCATACGCACAAGTATGCGCGGGGCACAGACGGAAAGAGGCACCCGTGGAGGAATTTGTTCTTGAAACGGGCAGGAAGCTGCGGGACCGCAACGCAGCAAGACAGCAGTCCTGAGCCGAAACAGAAGCGCGCCACCCTCCTTACCAGAAGGTCTCCAGCAAAATGCAGAGCTCCTGTGCACGTCCCAGGGCAAACACTGGAATCAGGACCTGCGAGGAGAGAACAGGCTGGGCTTGGAGGGAAACTGCAGAGCCACCTGCTTTCTCCAGTCGGGGGCGCTGAGACTGGACTGGGAGGCCTGGTTCCAGCTCCTGCTCCTGCTCAGCCATAAGATCAATGGGTGACTTTGGGCCAGTCAGCCTGTCCTCCCTCGCAGGGTTGTTGTGAGGACAAAAGGGAAAGGAGGGGCATTATACAGGGCCGTCTTAACGCAGGGGCCCGATGGGCCCCACGCTAACCTGTGTATATGAACCCTTGGAAAACTGGGAAACTTCCAAAGATAACATTAGTTGTAGTTGTCAGAGGGGCCACAGGACACTGCTTTGCCCAGGGCCCATCATGCTGTCAAGGCGGCCCTGGCATTATGGCAGCTGCTTGGCGTTCTTTGCAGGAAAACAGACATGGCACAAATACATTAGACTCTATTAGAAATACAGCGAGTCAGAAGGGGCCTCTTGGGTCATCTAGTCTGACCCCCTGGCTCCAGGTAAGCAATCCCCAAGCCAGCCCTAGTCCTGCTCTCCGATGCCAGCACTGTAGGGAACTACTGGCCCAGGTGCCGACTCTGGCAACAAGGCAGGTCCACTACCACCGATCTTCTCAGGAACCCTCGGACGTCGCGAGGCCATCTAGAAAGCCCCAGTACCTTCCCTCCTCGTTCAATCGTTTCGTGGACCTTCTTCAAGAAGTCCCTCTCTCTGCAGCGTTTGGAGTCCCGGATGGTGGTGGCATAGGTGGACTCGGAGATGAGCAGGTCTGGGCGGCACTTGTCAATCCAGGCGGCTCTAAAAGGGGGACACACAGACTTTCGCTCCAGAGAGGAGGCCCTGCACCGGGCAGAAGGCAGAAGACGCCCCGCACACATGCCAATCCTCCCACACATTTAGTTCTCGGTATGAAAGCACAGTCTGTACATTCTGAATCTAAATGAATGATAGGCCCCTTCGAGAATCCCAAATCCACATGCTTCGCCATTTATTTTTTAAATTTGCAGTCCACTTTACCCATAAAACAAATCTCATAGAAAGAACAGGGGCACGATCCTACGCACTACTGCAAATACAGAAAAGTTTTTGGCTTTCTTTCCAGGTGGCATGCATAGATTTGCCCCCTGAAAGACATAAAGCACAATGCAAAAACCGTTCATGTTAATTAAGATCAATTTCACTCATAAAAGCCGAGAACTTACCCTAAGTGCCGGTCTGGAGTCATGTTATAATCACCCTAAGCAAGCACAAGAAAGAACAAACCAAATATACTTTCAGTGCATCACAGACAGCTTGCTTGAAGTTACTGAGAATACTTTTATAGCACACTGTTTTTTTTTTTATTGTGATTTATCTCCTGCCTTTTTCCTACAAAGGGCTCAAGGCAGCTTACATCATCTCTCCTCCTCCATCTTATCCCCACAACAACAACCCTGTGAGGGAGGTTGGGCCGAGAGTCTGTGACTGGCCCAAAGTCACCCAGTTGGCTGCATGGCCGAGCGGGGACTCGAACCCGGATCGCCTGAGTCCCAGTCCCACGCTCTTAACCACGACACCACACTGTTGAGCAAACTGCTGTAGTAAAAGAGGCCACGGGTCTGTCTGTCTGACTGTCAGCACCACGACTGCGAAATTTAGATGCCCGGGACTCAGCATGTGAAGATGATCTTAGGGAAGGCAACTTCTGGGTTACTTGGTTCTGCAAAAGCAGGAACGTTTCACTCATACTCAGCCCTTGGGCTATCGTGTTTTCTGGACCCAGCCAGTGCCACGCAGACGTGGCTTGTGCACTTACAGTGTAAACCACAGACTCAGAGCCGACTTTGATCTGGAACATGGCTGCCCCAAGAACGTGCCCTGCATAATAAGCCTTGATCTCCAGCTCGTCGTCCACCTGCGGAAGAGGGGCAAAAGCAAACACAGCCTAAACGGCTTGGGACCAGGACACCTGAAGGAACATCTTCCTCACGCCCCTGAAGATCTGCGGGAGAAGCGCTGCTCCGGGAACCCTCTCCAAGAGCGGAAGAAAGGTCATCAACTCGGAGCAGGGCCTTCTCTGCTGTGGTGCCCAGACTCTGGAATGTCCTCCCCAGAGAGGCACGCCTGGCGCCAAGTTTATACTCTTTGCGGTGCCAGGCCAAAACCTATTTTACAATTTAATGGTTTTTAAGTTTAGTTGCCCTGTTTGTTTTGTGATTTATTGTTTTGTTCTGTTTTATTATTTATTGAAATTGTTGTTCTAATTATCTTTTTAAATCTTGTAAGGCATCCTGAGATCTTGTATAATAGGACGGCATACAAAAGCCTTTAATTCATTTTATAGTTGATACTCTTCTCGGTGCCAGGCCAAAACCTTTTTCTTTAAACAGTATTTTAAACTCTAATAGTTTTTTTTAGTTTAGTCGCTGTTTGGTTTATTGTTTTGTTCTGTTTCACTGAGATTTGTTATTTAATTGTCCTTTTAAAAATTGTAAGCCACCCTGAGATCTTGTGTAATAGGACAGCATACAAAAGCTTTTAATAAATAAAATAAAATAAAACTTAAAACTAGCAGGAAGCAAGAGGACCAGTGATTTCCCTATGCCTAAAACTCCACTGGGCCTTCCTTCAAGAGCATGGGGGGTAAAGGGTAAGTGGATCCATTGCATGGAAACTAAAAATTAAAATTTTTAAATTCAGATCTTATTTTTCCCTCAGTCGTGTTTGCTATTATTATCGTTGTATCTTGTTACTGTTTTATCTTATTTATTGGATATTATTACTCTGTAAGCCGTCCAGAGATATTTTGTACTGGACGGGTTCAAAATAGCCAAATAAACAAACAAACTGGATTAACATGCAGAATGCAGGAAGTCACAAAGCTCTTGGTAGACCCAGCTGAAGGTGGAAGGGTGCTATGTGATCACTGCTGGTTGCAGCCCTATTTGGGTTATTTATTTATTTACTCCAGTCCCACCTGTGGGTTTCCTGTGAGCAGCTGGCTGGCCAGTGCATGCATGGACTGCTGTGGAGAATCGTTCTGAGCCGGCCCAGCTCTGAAAAGCCGAAGACCCACCTGCTGCGTTAGACCGAGGCCTCGTCTCGCCTAGCATTCTGTTCTCACGGTGGCCGGCCGACCAAGCGCTCTTAAATTCACTGCGCTTGCAAAGAAATGGTACCATCTTGGCCCAGGCTCTCAAAATCAAGCCTCAGGGCAGCCCTACCTGGACCGTTTGGTGGAGATGGACGGCCACGACTTTCTTCATACAGTCTTTGATCATCTGGGAGGTGAAGAAGTTGGTCTCCCCTTTCTTGTCCACGGTGATTTTCCTGAAGTCCTCCAGGAGGATGGGGCAGATGGCCTTGGTCGGGTGGGTCATGTAGATGGGCCCGTCGTAGCCGACCATCTCACTGAAGTACGGAAGGGCCCCGCAGTGGTCCAAGTGGAAATGACTGGGGAACGACGGAGCACGCTTTTAAGATCACTTTCCAAAAGCCCTCGTTAAATCCGTCAGGCCTTAATCCTGGAAGTTGCCACAATAACCTCTGGCTACCAGACGCTGGAGGCAGAGTACAGGGGAAGACTGTGACCCCCTACCCCGTTTAGAAGCCTCTCTGGAGAGAGCGGTAGCCTAGAAATAAAATTTCTAACAACGCTAACAATGCATCTTGCCAAGGTCAGAACGGGGGGAAGCACAGCTCTTAGCCTCCCTGGAAAACTGACATGATACACACCCCTTCCGTGATCCAAATCTGCTGTATGGGAGGCCACAGAGCTAAGGACATTTCATGGAAGCTGACTGAACAGCTACCAAAGGAGGCATGAGTTGTACAGGTCAGTAAGTCAGAGGAACCAACCTGATGATGACGCAGTCCAGAAAATCGGTCAGCCTCCCATTCTGGGTGATGTAGGAAAAATCAGGAAAGCGCCTCTGAAAAAAACAAAAGAGCAGGCTCCTGGAATGGGCTAAAAACATCTCCGTGCAACAAAATTTTTGCAGACCTGTGCAATAACAATGTATAATAAATAGTAGCAACTGTTCTACACGTCCCAGACAATTTAAAAGCCGATACAAAGCTGACAGTTAAAATGGCGGGAAGATGAAAAAAAATTAAAGTGGCGCTAGAGCGTATGTAGCATTAGCACCAGGCGTGTTTCTCCGGGAAGCAGATTCTACAAGGGGGTGCCACAACCGAGAAGGCCCTTCCTCTCCCGGCCACCCTCTTCACTTCCTTTGCAGTCAGACGGAGTCTGCTTACAGGGCCTCTCTGCCCTGGTCCTGGGCCCCCGCACTTACATCATCATAATAACCCATATGCATCCCGCAATCCAACATGACGTTCTTCCCGGCGATGGACACCAGGATGCAGCTGCGGCCCACGTCTTGGCCAGCTCCTGAAACGAGAGGTGCGAAAGATGCCACCGTCAACTGCCTTTATCCTGTGACTGCAGACATCCTCCTCTGCACAAGGGAGAGCTGCACTGAGCAACTCACCTGGTCACCAAGGTAACCCGAAATTCCATGCAGGCGAATGACTGAGCAAAGACTATCTGGGGGGGAAAGCCTCTCATGGGAGATTTGTGCACTCTGCCCCCAGTGAGGACCATACAGGATTACTAACGACAGAAAGCTAATTAGCCGTTCAAGGCAGAGGTGGCCATGGGAATGGAGGAACGGAATAGAGTGACAGCAATTATTGTATTTCAATGTATTTTATTGTGTTGTAAGCTGCCCCGAGGCTTCGGCAAGGAGCGGCATAGAAATATAATAATAATAATAATAATAATTAACAGTCACTCTTAATACTACAACCTTTTGTCATTTGTCAAAATGACCAATTATTAAAGCATTACAAAGAGGTTGGGAAGATCAGATCAAAGCCCTCTTTAGCCTACTACTGCTTTAACTTCTATTTCACACTGTAGTTTGAAAATTTTGTTCATTAAATTTATACACTGCATCCAATAGTCCCACACGGGACTCCCTGAGCAATGCACACAGCAACAAAAACAACTTATATAAATTACAACCAGGAATATTTAAAATTCTAAAATCTATTAAAATAATATAGTTCTAACTGCTATTAGGGTTTTAACTACTGTGAACTGCCCAGAAAGCCTCAACTATTTGCCAGTACAGAAATGGAATAAACAAATTTAACGTTGTCTTTTCCTGACAAAAAAGCAAGTGCAGATATTCATGCACCTTACCCAAAGGAGTAACTTTTATTTCAGGCATTCTTTCTTTTAACAGGCAGGAAAATTTAGAAGTTCAGTCACAAGGGAAGCTGTTTCAGACACCCCCATAAAAGTGTCCAGGATACTCTGCACCTGAAGTGTTTCATCTGAAAGATGATTCCAGATGTCCTGAAGGAAGACAAAAACAACAGCAAAAAAGCCTGAAGCACACAGCAGAAGAGACACTGTTTCAAGACCAAAAAAATCACAGTATTTTATATTTCATAACGGTGGAGCAGTCAAAAACCCCACAACAGCTATCCAGTCACTGCTTAAATACGGCCTGCAAAGAACCACCCACAACTTCCCAAAGAATTTCCTCTACAGCCAGAGCTTCTGCCCTGAGAAATTTTTTTCGGAGGTTCAGCAACATTTGCATCCCTGCAACTCTCACAGATCAGGAGTCAGCAGCAATGGGGCAGCACAGAACATCTTCTGTGCGACAGCTTTTCATAAATTTGAGACCTGCTATCATGTTTGCCCCTTAATCTTCTCTTCCCCAGGAAAAACATCTCCAGCATTTTCAAACATTTCTCATCACAGAGTTTGGTTTCCAGAGCTCTACCAACCTGGTCACATTTTAGTAGGATACACTCATTCCTGATCATTATGAGCAGCATAATTACACAGCAATTTAAACGATTACGCAGCAATTAAAACGATCTGGGCCAGATATTAACCAGATATTTGGGCCAGAGTGTGCAAACCCCATGAAGAAAGTGTTGGACAAACGCATCTATGGGGAAGAACAACTCCTTCCAAAAGAATTGGGCTTACCAAAACACTGTCTTTCTGGGATGCATCCTTTCCTTTTCCTGAGTCAATTGCCTTAAGCGCTAGTTTTTAAGGTGCTGCAAAGCATTTAGCTGTTTCGGCTGCAACAGGTTAACTTTTGGGGGTTTCTTTTGCAAGACTGTGTGAAGGTGCCTGGCTAAGGGGATGCAGGTGCAAAAGTCCCCGCAGCCATGAAGCTCGGCGGGTGTGCTCAGGCTAGCAATCCCTTCGGCTCAGCCTACCTCACAGGGTTGTTGTGGCACAGAAGCTGCACACTCCCCGGAGCCCGCTGGGAGAAAAGGATGGGATGCAAAGCTTCAAGCAAATGATCTGACACCCTGGACCTTCCACATCCCATAAAGCAATCCACCTTCCCACGCACCAGAAGTACAGACTCCAAGAGAATCACCTTCATGTATATTTACTCAGAAGTAAGCCCGTGAGTTTAATGGCACTTACTCCCAGGTAAGCGAAACTTTAACCCAGTCTATTCGAATCGGGCACCATCCCCGCGATGTATTGCACTACAACTCCTATCCCCCCAAGGTGCACTGGACTACAACTCACATCATCTCTACTCCAGTCCGACACACCGACCCAAGGTATGCGGCATCACAGCACCCATCATCCCTACTCCCGTCTGGCACGTGCGCAAAGTGCTTGAACGCCCACCGTCCCCTTCCGAGAATGATGGGAGCAGTAGTCCAACGCATACCAGGAGATGGGGTAGAGAGACATGATGGGAATCGAAGTTCCACGCACTTTGGGGGCTCGCCAGATTGCGTGCATCGCCCTCCCCGTTCCCATAGCAACAGGACCCCCTCCCGGGCGCCCCCCCATTACTCACGTTGCTCCCCCAGCATCACACCCGCACTGCCCACACCGAAGGGGCGCATGCGCACAACCGCAATTTATTTCCGGAAAGCTGCGCGAATCTTGCCTATAGAGCATGGAAAAATAAAGCAATATAGAAACAGTTCACTTCCGGGTAAATGGAAACACATTTCAAGATTCGCAGCAAGGAAGCAAGAGCCGGGAAGAACGAAGTTAGAGGCAGAGGCGACTCTATACTTTCCCTTCGTATCTCTATCTTTCTCCGAACCAAACTCGATCCCTTGGCGCATGCGTGCTCGCTACTCCTCGCCTGTCCGTCCGTGGCGCATGCGCACCGCGCTCCCTCTTACTCGGGAAGAACGCCGACTCTAGAGAACTAGCCGTGCGGAGGCGGGGAGAGGGCGGGGATTGGCCGCAGGGAGCCGCGGGGCGGGGCCGCGCGCTCTGATTGGCGGGCGGGGACAGAACGGCTGCGACTTGGAAGGAGGAAGAGGTTCCCCAGGTGGGTCCGCGGCTGGCGGGGGAGCGAAGCCCCCGGGAGGGGGGGGACCCTTCCCTGGGCAGGGCATGATGGGAGGCAGGCCAAGGGCTGGCTGGGGCAGCGCGCGGGGGATGCTGGGTACTGCTGCCCCCTTCCCTTTGCCCCCCTGTGACCCCCCATTCAGGTCCTCCAAGCCACTGGTGGTGCTGGGCAGGCGCTGCTGGGAGGCTGGGACAGGGAGAGAGCGAACGGCGTCCTGCAGGCAGAAGGGTCAAGGCAGGGGCGCGTTTGCCTCGCTCTCTTTCAACCTGATATGCCAGCCGAACCCTGTGGAAAGCTGGATCGGGATCAGAGGGAGGAGGAGAAATGGGCAGAGGATCGAGGCATGAGCCACAGGGCTGGCAGAGAGCTGTGCTGCATCGAATCGACTCCGGACCGTTAGCCATAAAGCAATCAAGACCAGGAAAGGTTTTGCCTCCCTTCACCCAGGCATGAGTTCAAAGGTCTCCAGTGGAATATCCTCGCCTTTGATCTTTCCTAGCTCCGTCATTGCAGCTCGGGCATCCCAAGGAGGCTCCGGTGCCGAAGGGCTGCAATGAAGGAGCTGGGAAAGATCGAATGTAAGGAGGTTTCACTGGAGACCAAGATCGGGATCTTCTGCATTATTGTGTTCCCAGTCAGTGAATGGGCATGAAAGCCGGGCAGTGAAGAAAGCTGACAGGGTGTGTTCAACACTTGTGCTGAAAGAGACCTTTGCTTTGCAAAATACCTTGGAATGACAAAGAAAAACAAGCGCGTCCTAGATGAAACCAAGCCAAAACCTGCCCTCCAGACTAGAAGGACAAAGCCGAAGCTGTCATACTGTGGGCCGACGAGAAGACGCACTGGAGAAAACAGTCACGCTGGGGGAAATCGAAGGCACAACAAAACCAACAGCTACGAGATGGATCGATTCCATAAAGGGAACCACAGCCTTGGATTTGCAGGAGCTGAGCGGGGCTGTCAAGGACAGATTCTTTCAGAGAGCTCCCGTTCACGGAGCCGCCATAGGTCAGAGATACCTTGATGGCACAGAGGAACAACGGACAAAGGAAGAGCATCACCAGCCACCTGCTCACGGGAAACCCAGGAGCTGGACACGAGTGCAACGGCCCCGTCCTGCCCAATTTTCCCAGCAACTGCTGTTGGCATATCACCTCTGTGGCTTGTGGCATCCAAACAAGTAGCCCCTGATAGCCGCCGCCTCCTCCACAAATGTTTCCCTACTCCTTGTACAGCTGCTGACATTGAGGGGAATCTTGATGACAGTACACAGTGCTGCTTAAACAAGCCCTTTTCTCTCCCGTCAGCTTCACGGGATGACCCTTTTGGGGTTCTAGTGGGAGAGAGAAAAATCCCCTTTCTCCATACCATATAGCCTTCTATATGTTCCCCTTTACTCACCTTTTCTTTAAGTTAAAGAACCCCTGATGATGTCATCTTTCCTTCCAGGCAGAAACATTCTCAGTTATTGTCAGAATGGATAGCCTATCACCAGAGAGCAGAGAGGTTAGGAAAAAAACACCTTAGGTATCAGTGAAATGCTAATTAAAAATGTGTAGTGGCAGTCTGATATAAAGGGTCTGCGGGGCTGCTTTGCTTCTGTGTAACGTGCATGCTGAGTCTGGGCATCTGTTTCAGAGTGTCACCATGGCTAACGGGGATGATGGGAATGGCCTGAGGGAAGTGCTGGTCACTTTCAAGAGCTGTCTGAGTGAGGAGGAGGAAATTCTGCTGGACCCTTACTTAGCTGGCTGGAAAGGACTGGTGAGGTAAGACCATGACGGGCCCCAGTTGGATCGCTGAGTCAGCTCTGCTTTAATCTCATTCTGCAGCTGGGGAGTGGCAAGAGGCCTGCTTCCTTGGGACGGCAGATAACAGGGCGCTCCTGCTCCTGTACAAGTTTAGATAAACGCAAGTCCCGGAATTGCCAGCTCTCCCCACCCGCCACTCTGAGCATGCATTGGCTTGTCCCCCAGGTTAGCCTTTCCCAAACTGGTGGCCTGCACGTGTGCTGGACTACAGTTCCCATCTTCCCCAGACAGTGTGAGCAATGGCTGTGCATGCTGGGAAGGGCAGGCACAGTCTTGGGCAGCACAGAAATGGGATAAACAAAACCCAACTGCCAAAGCTCTCCGGGCAGTTCGCGAAAACAAGCCCTAAAGTAGAACAACATGATAAAATCATGGAATTTCAAAAATTACTTCAAAACAACGTACCTTGTACATCTGTCTGGGAGGTTGTAGTCCTCAAAAGCAGCTCAAGAATATCCAGTTTCTGGTGTAATTCTATGCTTGTTTAGAAAGAGAGATGTCGTAGTTTCCGGCATTCCTAGCAACCAGTCATACAACTCGCTTTTCTGTCTAAACGTGCACAGGACCACTCACTAAATGTTACCTTTGCATTCCTGTTTTAGAAGAGCAGGGATGCTCTTGGGGACAGCATGTGTGCCCCTTGCTGGAACCAAGACGATTCACCCTCCTTACAATATTACATTCCTTTTTCAAAAAATTGCAGGTTTCTGAATAGCATGGGCACCATCTTTTCCTTTATTTCCAAAGATGCGGTGGCCAAAATTCAGATCATGGAGGACTTCCGGGCCGGTGCACGGAAGGAGGACTATGCCACCCTCCAGTCCATGGTGGACTACGAGTTGACCAACAACCTGGTGGACCTGAAGCAGCCTGGGGAAAACGCGGCTTCCGGCTGCCGGACGATCCTGCGCCTCCACCGGGCCCTTCGCTGGCTCCAGCTCTTCCTGGAGGCCCTGAGGACTAGCAACACGGACTCTAAGACATCTGTGCTGTGCACGGATGCCTACAACGCCTCGCTGGCCAATTACCACCCCTGGATTGTCCGCAAGGCGGCCACCCTGGCCTTCTATACCTTGCCCACTCGGGATCTCTTCCTGGCGAACATGGAAGTGGGCAGCAGCGAAGAGGCGGTGGAAATGCTCAGGGAAGCCTTGCCCAGCATCCGGAAGGTGTACGAGGTCACGGAGGCCCTATATGCCCAGCACAGCCTCCTCGACCTCCCCTGATGGGGCGGGTTCCCAACTCCCCAGGTGGCAGCAAGAGCCATCTCACCTGGGCCTGGCCTTCTTGGTATCACAATCTAGCATTTCTTCAGATCAATCATGATTCCTATAGCTGTGAGTTCTCAGGCATTCAGAGCAAAATCTCTCTTCCAGCCCCTTCCTTCCAAGGAAACGCAGGAACGGGCAGTGACGTGACTCCAGCCTCCCTGTCCTGGGACAGAGCTCTTCCCAGCTCTTCTAGGCACAGGTGGATCCCTTCCAGATGTTTTGGTCTACAGCGCCCATCAGCCTTTGCCAGCACAGCCAGAGGCAGAGTTTCATGGGGCTTGGAGGGCAGCACATCTGGAGGCCTGCCAGTCACCTCGCCTTGTTCTTCTGGTTCTTAAGGCGATCTTCTCCCGGTGAACAATGAATCCAGTTCTCCGGGTATCACAGGGCCCCAAGCTTAGAAGGAGGGTCAGTTGATGGAACGTACGTTGTCCCATCAAAGGACAACTTCTTCAAAGGAAAGGCAGATCTATTATTGGACTGTGGTACCTTTCTTATAACGACTGAGAAAACAATGGCTGGGGAGACAGGGACTGGGCGGTATCTAACTGGGGAAGAGGAACTTGTGGGGCAGGACAGCATTTGGGCTGGACTTGACCCACTTTGCTGTTTTCCCGATCCCCACTAGGCCCCGCTCGCATCCTTTCCTCGCTGAATCAATGCAATTCTTGCTGTCGCAGCTGCTAATGAGAGGGATCCCACTCGGCCGAATCATTTCCCAAGACAATCATACACCGGATCCTTTCCTACGGGTGCCGGAAGGCTTGAAGCAGGTCCGGTTTCAAGCTGGACCCTGGCAATCGGCTTTGAGCTTGCTGGATGCGTGAGCAAGCCTTGTCTACTGCATGAATCAAAGGAGCCAATCACAACTGAAAGATGACGAACGAGGTCCAGTGAACCATCACCAGGTTGACTGAACCAGTTTCAGGACACACACCTGTTCCGGATGCAAGTCTCTGCTTGCTTCCTTGGGGTTATGCCTCGCTGAGCCTGCAGAAACTTGCTTCTGGGTAAGCTGAACTTTTTCAGCCCTTTTCTCCGATGCCTTTCCCTGCTTGCTTTTCGCTCCCTGTCCCGCTGGCTTCTTTGGTTCTCCCCTCGCAGTTGGACAGCACTTGTAGGGCTTGCTTTAGAACTTTCCAGAACTCGTCATCAAGCTGGGGAGCCCAGAGAGCCAGAGGATGGGGGAAGCAACAGAAACACCCCCACATCTAGCCCTGTATTTTAGCCATGAGATTTGCAGTCTAGATAGCCCTAGTCAGAATGAATCAGTCCATTGCAAGGGCCGTAAACACCCCCCACGGACTAATTCATTCAGACTCTGTACAGTTCCACTTTGAGGCTGCCGAGGTCTAAATTACCAGCCTCGTGGCCACAGCTCCTGGCTAAACTTTTGGACGCGGCCGATTCTTCCTCTCCATCTGCTTTTCATTCCACCTTGCTTCGGACCACTTAAGAGCTTGCGTATTTATGTGGCATCTTGGTTGCCCCGGTAAAGAAATGGCCCAATTAAATTTTGGAGGGGCGTTTTAAATTTGCCTGGCCCGGGACTGCCATGCCTGTTTTGCCTTGTTCCAGTCTACTCCCTGTCTCTCTAGCTCCACGTCTCCCACCCGTTTGCCTCCTGCTTGCATTCCACTTCATCGGCCTTGCGTTATGCAACCTTCCCGTAATAAAATCTTTAAAATGGAATGGGACACACACCTGCCGCTTTCTAAACATGGAAAAGCGAGCCGTTTCCCTTTGCCTTCAGCGCCAGCGGTTGCCGTCCAGCTGGCCAAGGAAGAGCAGGAGGCTGCACTTCAAGCGGGTAAAAACCCTCCAGGTCTCAGTCACATGGTGGTGGTTGGCCGAAACCTTGAGGCGAAGACAATCTGGACATTTTTCCTCTTGTTTTGAACAGTTGTTGGGTCTTTTAGCTTCACAACGTGGTGTCTGGTGAAGTTTCCTTTCTGTGAGCAAAAAGCAAAAAGCAATCCAATCCATGCTGTATCCCATGCTGTAACATGCACGATTCTTGCACAATTCAGCTGAAACCTTTGCTGGAAGGGGTGGGGTGCTGTGGACAGTATTTGCACTATGATATTCTGCCTCAGATGCATGTCTAGTGAATTTCTATATATTTTCCTCTCTCGTGTGGCTGGATTCAAATAAATGCTATTTGTAACTGCTTCTTGGGCAGTGGTGGTCTTTATTTCAGGAGTTCTGATAGCGGGATTAGAATTGCCTTCCATTCACTGCGTCAGGCTACGGGGTGGGTGGAAAGGCCTGAATGAAATGTTCAGCCTCCACACGCTGGGCCCCTCCCTGCTTCTATCAACCCCCCCCCCCCATTAGTCTTGTTAACCACGGTAATTGTGGTGCCTGGTCAGCGTTCACACACTGAACCCGAGTGGACCTTGATGGATTGCTCTAAAGCTCTTGCCAGTCCTCATCGGATGGAAGCTGAAGTCTAATGCAAAGGGAGGGTGTCCAGCATTGAATTCTACCACTTTGGCCCAAAGGCACGAGCTAACAGCTAGGCCCAAACTCTTCTGGACCGCTGCCGATCACCAAAAGGCCCACCACAAGCCGAAGCTGGGACACTGCAGTGTAAATTCTCCACTGTTACTCCTCGGGCAACGTCAGATCCCCCTCTCTGTGCCTTGACTTACCTCTCCGACTGACCTAGGGCAGCTTTTCCCGCAGGCTGTTTCAGATGCCACCCAAGGCATGGCACGCATATGCGCTGCATGAGCCAGAAACGCGCTGCAGCAGCAAAACTGGCTAACACCATCCCAGGTCGTACCGTTTCGAGGTTAAGCAACGGGGAAAAGGGATCCAGCTAGAGGGAGAGAAACTGAGCCACCCCGCCGTCTGAGGCCTTCTAAAAGCAGCCCCTCCCCAGCTTTTCAAACTCTGGAATATTTTCCTGTGAAGCAAACAGATGGTGTCCCATTTCAGCATCGGTGCACAGAAGGAAGGCACTGCCAAAAAAGCAATTATGCATCACCCACAACACACACACATACACCATTTGAGTATGTGATTCCCAGCATGTGCCCAAGGCCAACCCCACACAAAACGTGGCCCACAAACTCCCGGCATCAAAACCGCCTACAGTAACAGCCACCTTTCTTCCATTCTGGATCCACTTGAGCCGGGCTTTGTCTGGCCCATCGCCTTTCAGAGCTTACAAAGGCTCCCTGGAAGACCTGTGGCTGTATTCACAGATGCAGCAACGTCATTTCAGAGTTTGAGCGCCACTGGGGTTGGGGCCCCCTTCAGCTCACCCTTCTGCACCACGGCCCCAAGGCCTGCCCTGAAGGTGCTGCCACACCTGTGGAAACCTGAGAGCCTCCCAGGACATCTGTTTGAACAAAGCCCACCTGGAGAGGAAATGCAGTTTGCAGAGGCAGAGTTCTGTGAATACTGTGGGAAATTTGATTAGCACAGATGGCCAAGCCACTGTTATTTTACACTTTCATGCCTGGACAGAGGGATGGACACACACACCCATATACTTTGCTAATCAAATTTCCCAGGATGTTTTCCTTCCCTATTTAACAAAACATTTGGTGTTCTAAGCATTTCCAGCCGCCTTTAGCTCCTTCATCTCCCAGCTGTACAAAGACAGAGCACGATGTCTGCATTTTTGCTGCTCGGTATCAGTTTGGATTGGGCCTTAGCCCAGGATTACCACTGCTTGTCCTCTCAATTCAGAAGATCAGGAGACTACATGCTGGGTGGCTTGTTTCCTTTCACAGTCCACATCACCAACATGACCGAGGAGAACGCGCCTGATATTTCTAACTGCAAGAGGTAAGGAGGAATCCAACACGAGCCACAAAGGTGATGCTGCGGCAAAAATGGTGTAGACGATTCCAGGTTCTAACCATGTGCTATTATCTGCAACTAACTCCTGCTTTAAGACACAGGACCAGCATTTAGACATGCAAGCTTTTCCATCTTGCAGCTGGGGTGGTTTTGTCTGAGGTTCCCGAAGGTGTGGCTTGACTCTTCGTCTCCTGCCTTGATGAGCCCAAAGCCCAAAATTGCTGCCCAGCCCGCTTTATGATACTATTTCCTTCTCCTCCCAAAAAGCAAGACCTGCTTTTCTGCACAAGCTTTCCTACATCTTTGCAATGGATCAGCACCAGCCATGTTTGCTAAACAAGGAAGTCCGCAACTCTGCCCCTTTCCTGTCCGTCTTGCAGGGTTTCCAGAAGCAGGTCCCCCCTTGGAAACAGGGACTTAGGACTTCTTTTCTGATCCACAAAGAAGTCATTTGCTTGTTTGTGAAAAGGACTTGACTAAGGAACCAGGAGAAACCAGATTCACTGAAGGTTTTTTCCGCTGCCCCATCCCTGTTCCAAGTGCCTCCATTCCCCCTCCGTTTTCCCAAAACGCCTTCTGGGAATCACACTTGGCTTCAAGGAGGGGCAGCGGGAAGGGACAAATGTCCTTCTGCAAACTTCCCCAAGTTAGCTTAGGATCTAAGCATTAATCTTATTATAAAGGTCTCAGTGCTGCAGTGCAAAGAACTCCTATTCAGATGCCAGCCATTCGGCCGTGCCCACCCCAAGACACTCCATGCCATTCCCTCGCCCCGCCACCCACAAAGCAGTCAGATTTATTATTTATTTATTTTTCGATTTATCTCCTGCCTTTTTCCTACAAAGGGCTCAAGGCAGCTGACATCATTCTCCCCCTCCATCTTATCCCCACAACAACAACCCTGTGAGGTAGGTTGGGCCGAGAGACTGTGACTGGCCCAAAGTCCCCCAGTTGGCTGCATGGCTGAGCGGGGACTCGAACCCGGATCGCCTGAGTCCCAGTCCCACGCTCTTCACCACTCCGCCACTCTGGCGGAGGACGCTTGGCAAACTGCATGGCTGCTGAGCATCCTCGGCTCCCGTCGGACCGCTTGGGCCCCGTTCCTCCTCCATACAACCCCGCTCCTTTATTTTCACACTGCTGCAAACCTCAGGTCCCTCTCAGTCGGCCAACTCCTCCTCTTGGCCAGAGACGGGACGGCACTCACCCCAAATCCCTCCGAATCGGGGAACCAGCTCTCCTTTTGCCTCTGCCTTCAGGCTCTACGCTGCTGGCCTGGTCTGGGCGCTGGGGATGAAGTTTGCTCTGGAGGAAATCAACAACGCCACCGCCCTGCTGCCAGGCATCCAGCTTGGGTACGACATCCACGACGACTGCATGGAGCCCGCCATCGCGCTGCAGCCCAGCCTGCTCCTCCTCTCCAAGGAAGGCACCCACCGGATCGGGGTCCTCTGCAACTACACGGACTACCAGCCCCGCGTGGTCGCCGTCATAGGACCCCACAACTCCGAGCTCTGCGCGGTGACGGCTAGGCTGTTCAGCTTCTTCCTGATCCCACAGGTAAAGTGAGCAAGCAAGCAGCTTCCGTGGGGAACCTCCAGCTGCTTGGGTGGGAGAGGAGGAGCTGGCGGATTCCCACCCGGAGGAAGGTGGGGCAGTGCATCCCCTCCGAGGGGTCGCCTGAGCTTTGACAGAGCTCTCCGAGGTGCTGACCGGGCCTTGGAGCGAAGTGGGAGAGCCGTGCAGGGCGAGCTCCTCGAGGTGCAGGCTAAATCCCAGACCAGATCGGGGCAGCCCTTGTCCACAGCGACTGTCCAGGGTATCCCTTTGAGGGCTTGGGGCGTTAGGGCTGGTATGCCCGCCCCCCGGCAAGGGGCACACTTGGCCCCGATTGCCCACGTGCCGGCTTTTACGCAGGACCAAATCTGAAGCAAGACGGCCAACTATGCACCACCCAAAACAAAAGGGGGAAACTATCACCGAAATCTGAGGGCAAGAAAACACTACTTGGGAACTGCAGTCCAACGTATCTGGCAAGGCCCAGGCTGGAAGGAGGGTGGGGGGGGGGG